GCGCTCTATTTAACGCGCTTACTAAAAATTTCATTTGTTTATTAACACGCCTGTCTATGCGTGTATGACTATCTAATCAAACATTGATTTTCACTTTTCATTTTCACGTCACAAAAATATATTATTCGCCTATAAAAGGGGTTAATTACAGTGAAAATTTATTAGAATAAATTAGGAAATTCACATATGTAACGTATGTGTTGAAACCTTCTGTTGTGCAAGCATTTCAGCAGCTATTATATCTATCGAGTTAGACATGATTTTCGTTTTCACTCTTAATATTAGATAACGCCATTGTGCCAATGGACAACATTTTTCAATACTTAACATATGACGGAAATGAGTACGTGGTCAGATATTAATATACCTCGACGTATATGTTGATTATAGTTCAAACAAAAATGTATTGAATTTTGAGAATGTTTTTATGTTAATATAGCGTTCCAAGTTTTAACATTTTATGTGTTACGTGAATATTATAACAATCGAATTTTATGAAAGCATGAATTTGTGGTCAATTTAAAAATTAATTTTATAGCTACTGTAAACTATTCTTGAAAATAATACAAGAATAAAAGTACATTTAAATAGGTATTTTAAAAAATAATTATTCAATTTTTATTTAATTTTTTCATTTTAAACATGATTATTAAAAAAAAAAACTATCTAACAGTTTTTAAAAAGATTTTGCAATTATACTAATGTACTGTGTTTATAGCTCGGTTATAATATATTTATATTAATTATATTAATTTATGAATATGGTTATAACTGTTTTTTTTTTGCATAGAAGTACGAAAATGTTTTAAAATTAGAACGGATTTTTATTCAATATACATAGTATATACTAATAAAAATTAAAATGTTTATGTACCTACATTTTAATATTATATAAATAGATATTAAATTAATAGTAAATTAAATTATAAAAGTACTACTGAACTTGGTGAAACGAAATGAGGACTTAAGCACTTGGTTTCTATATATTCTATTATTACCTTTAGGTTTAGTATGTTCTACGTTTTTTGAAACATTAAAACAAAGATACTTTTTTTAAAATCATAAAGAAATAAACAAAATTAGATTAATTTAGATATGTATAAAAGCAAAAAAAAAGCAATTTACACAACTACATTTTTTATTTTCTTAGACTTGTTCCCGAAAAACCTTCAAAACCTGATCACTTCGTGACACAAACTGCAGTCACTAGACCACCAACAAATACCCGGCCACCACCAGCTACTCGACCGCCGTCCGCTAATATTATCACATTATCTACTAAAGCACCAATACAAATAGCAACTAAACCAACAATAAGCTTGGTGTCTTCTAATAATATTGATGAAGGTATGTAACTAATAAATAATATGTGTAATAATAATAATAATAAAATTTATTTAACAAATCAAAACATTGCAAACATTTAAATTATAATATTATAATAGAATAACAATGAAAAAATGTATAAACATAGGCAGATAGGTTGATATCTATAGTAACTTTATTAGCTTATGTTTAACGATTAAATGAATTAAATATTATAATATTGTTTAATACATTAATACATGCATTATGATTTTCTACTAACTATTTTGTGCCCGTCTTGCAAATTTTTCAAATCTTCGCTCTGAACTCTGAATCCATTCCGGAAAACCCACCTAGAAAATTAAAGCAAAAATGATGCCGCGACCTAAAATAACACTAACCCTCTCTAGTCAGTAAGTGTTACCGCTGGGTAATAACTTCATTATATCAATCAAGCTAATATATATTGTAAATTCTCAAACATGCTTATCGTAAAAATGTATTTATAGATTGTATGTATTAAAAATAAAACTAAAAAAAAATACATATATTATACATTATAATTTTTATTATTAAATAATTAACATTAATCTAACCTAAATATTCCCAATCAAATAATAGAACCAGACAATTAGTATTAGACTTAGAATAGACTTAAAACAATATCCCGTTAAGCTTCATATCAAAGTAGCAGTTAATATATTTTTTTTTTTTATCACAATGTCACGCTACAGTAAATATATTTATTTCACGCATAGCTGTTATGCTAAATATTTAGATACCTACTACTGTTTTTATTTATGACAACAACTCAATAGTAAACTTGTATTAAAATTATATTCTAATTATTTTTAGTAGTAAATTACTCTTATCAGATAAACATTTTAACGAGCTCTTGTATTTATACACATATTTATATTATATATAAATTAAAACTCATATTTATCAGTATGTACAAAATACGTAATTAAAATAATAGCTCAATAATCTGGCCTATGACTTATAAATAATATTCTATGGGAACTAAAAGAAAGTTTAAATCTATAGATAAATAGCATTAATAAAAATCGTTGTGTTAACATTTTTAGAATTCTTAAGAAAGCTACTTTTATGTAATGTGATATTACTAATATTATCTAACTTATGAAAGCATATAATATTATATCAATTCAAGTATAAATAAACATACAAATAAATAATTTAGATTTTTTTACTTTTTGGTATATTTATTAAAATAACCAATTATGCGATAAATAAAATTAATAAAATATTATACATATAACAATAATTTAAATTATAAATGTGAACACCAAATAAATGCTAATTTAAAGAACTATAAAATTCAATCATAAATATTTTTTATAAATTTTAAATGGGTTATTTTTAAATAAATTTAATTTAAAAACAGACTGTGGAAGACCTGAAGCACCAAAGTTCCGGGTAGTCGGAGGAGACGAAGCTTTACCAGGTCGATGGCCGTGGATGGCTGCTATATTCTTACATGGTCCCAGGAGAACTGAATTTTGGTGTGGAGGCTCATTAATTGGACCTAGACATATTCTCACAGCTGCGCATTGCACACGAGATAATAGACAAATGCCGTATGTTTTATTTATTGATCACGTTAAGCTTAAATGACTATACCAAGATACCAAGAAAACTTTAAATTAATAAAAATAAAAATTCATTGACTGATTAAAGTAATTTTTTTATAATATATTTTACTTTTCAGTTTTAATGCCAAACAATTTACAGTTCGACTTGGTGACGTAGACCTACGTAGGGATGACGAACCTTCGTCTCCTGAAACATATTATGTTGTCGAAGTTCGTGGACATCATAAATTTTCCAGAGTAGGTTTTTATAATGATATTGCAATACTCGTATTAGATCGACCTGTTAAAAGAAGCAAGTACATAATACCTTTGTGTTTGCCTCCTAAAAGTTCTAAGTCAGATACTTTTGTTGGTCAGAGTCCAACAGTTGTAGGATGGGGCACTACGTACTATGGTAAATTTATTCAAGTTGAAATAATTATGTAGTTAAAATTACACAATTTTATTCAAATTTATTTTACAGGTGGTAAAGAGAGTACTGTACAAAGACAAGTTGATCTTCCTGTATGGAATAATAACGATTGTGACAGAACTTATTTCCAACCAATCAATGAAGACTTTATTTGTGCAGGATTAAAAGAAGGGGGTAAAGATGCTTGTCAGGTAAACTAATCTTAAAATATTTTAAGTAAGTGTATTATAAAATTGATATTATTTTAGGGAGATTCTGGAGGTCCGTTAATGCTAAAAAAAGATGGAAGGTGGATACAAATTGGTATTGTATCATTTGGTAACAAATGCGGTGAACCTGGCTATCCGGGTGTGTATACAAGGGTTACCAGATACTTGGATTGGATTAATGAAAATGTTAATTGATCATTTTCGAAAACTAAAGAAGCATCAACAATAAATTTAAAGTAATTAACGACAGCGTAAATGCCAAACTTATGTACCTATATTTAATATTTATATATATACTTTAGTTCAAGATATTACAAGATTCATAATATACCTGCCTAGTTTTTTTTTTTTTTTTTTAATTGTCGACATTCTCGTCGTTAATAAATTAAAAAAATATTTTAAATGTAAATCGTTTTGTAAATAAAATAAATGAATAAAATCTCTCATGATTTAAGTTCTTAAATTAAAAAAAAAAAAAATATTTAATATTAGCTATTTATTTATCAAATCGTAACCAAGACTATTAGACATATAAGTAGTCTAAAATCTAAATAATGTTATGAGTTGTAAAAATATTATAAATAAACGATTGCATTTAAATTTTTATAAAGTATCAGAAATTTTCTTACATTTGTATAATGTATAATTTTATAAAATTATATTATTTGTATATTATTAAATTATATTCATTATTTATAAATTGAGTTTTGATATGTATTCAATTTTGAAATAAACATTCTATAAGCTGTTTAAAAACATTCAATGTATCCATAAAACGTGTATATTATGTAATATTAAAAACCAAAAAGAATATAAAAAAAAAAACTATAGATAAATTTAAGAAAATCGTTGGGTAAAATACTAAGAAATCTTTTCTTATGTTATATTTATAAAAAGAAGGTAAATTGGTATTTAAAATAGTTTCAATATTGTAATATTGAAGAAAATAATAATTATTGTATAACTTTCTATACCTTATTATTATGTAGTACCCACGTCCTATATAATATTAAAATACTGAACGAATTATTTAAATTATATAACTATAAATTAAATAGTACTCAATTTTTCTCTATTATGTAATAGCAATTCTGTCAGTGAGTAATAAGTATAAATAATATTTTATATGAATTAGAAAACCTGCTTTTGTAAACAAACAATATAAGTGTATAAATATTTTCTTTTTATGCAACACATAATAAAATAAAACTGTGAAAAATTAAAAATTAAAATTAAATATTATTCACAACTAATTTAATTTTTAATTTGATTTATAAAACTTCAATCTCCAGTATTTGTCTTGCACAAATTTTAATATATCACATCAGTTATTATACAATGTATTATTAATAATTTATAATACTTGAAACTGCCCCACTTCTATTATAGAATAAATAATGACAACAATAAAAATGCCTATATTCACTACTCATTGTTCAATTTATCGTCACTCTAAATCGAAGCTTTTACATTTTGCTGTTACTTACATGCATTATTTCAACGTTACACTTCGTAAAGAGTTATTGAAAACTTTATGGTTACTTTCAAATACTAAAACAAAACAAAATTGGTATTCTACAACATGGCATCAAATAACCAATTTGTAACATTTAATAATGATGAAAAGTATCCAATTTTAGGATTTGGAACATGGAAGGTAATTATAATAATGATATAATTATATTAAATTAAATTTATATATATATTTATTTTTTTTTTAAATGTACTTAACTAAGAGTTTTAATTTATATTTTCAATTATCAATCATAGTTGTTTAAAAATAAATATTTATTTTAAGCAAAAATACATGAAAAATATTTTACTAATATAATTTAAACAATGTTAATAACCCTTTTAGACAAAACTTTATTTAAAATAAATAAAATATTGTAAAAAAAAATTGGGAGTTTTTTATATTATATTTAATATGATTAAGAAAAGTTACATAATGATTTTTATTAATTTTTAATATTAAAAAATATGTCGCATCGCCAAGATGTATAGGCTATACCTCTCGCATATGAAATATAACAAAAACTTAAGTTCACGTAGAACAAATCATCATAAAGTATTGGAAAAGTAATTTTATAAATAAAACATCTATGTAAGTGTAGGTAGTTTATATTTAATATAAACATAAATAATAAAATAATACTTTTAATGGCATCAACTATTTCTTAAAAGATTAATAAATTCCTATGTTAAGACAAGGACTGCAATTCATCGCATCTATACAATTCTAATATAGATTTTGACAAAATCAAAAAATATATTTATAGTCTTTATTTTAATGATCTCCATTTAATATATAAATTACCTTATATGACTGATTTTACAAACGCATAACATAGCGAATTATAAGTTTTAAAAAATCTATTATGTTAAATATTAGATCGAGTTAGTAAATTGTAGATTAATTATTAAATTTATAAATAAGAATATTATTTGAATAAGTGAATTTTATTGATTTTTTATTAATTAAAATAAAAATAAAAACGTTTAATTCACTTGATAAATAAAAATCAGAATCATCGATTAATTTTTTTTTAGTTAATAAACATAACATATAAGACGTACAATTTTTTATATGAATTATTTCTATTTTTGACTTCCATAATTAATGACATAAATATCAATGTACAATGTACATAATATACATTATATACGTTATATACGTTATACATAGTTAGATCTTATTTCCTATTGTCACCTGCTGCCATCAATATTCAATCATTACCAATATTCAACTGTCTAATTTTATGTGTGTCAACTACATAATATGAAGTTCACATGATAAATGAAAATTTACTATAAAATAAAGATAGACGATACACTTGATAATGTTACATACATAATAATAAATATTATAATAATACCTATCATAAAAATATAAGTTATTATTAATAGTTTAGGCTGGCTTTATACGTATTATAAATGATAAATAATATTTTATTCAACAATTGAATTACGACCTTACAAGTTTTAGTAAGTATGAATGCACGTTTATTATTTAAAATATGTCAAATTTATAAGACTTATTATATAAATAAATAAAAAAAAATAAAAAATATTAAGACCTTAAACCTAGAACTATGTCTTTTAGTCTTTTGTATTAATCTTATAGGTAAAATTATTTAATAAATTTCATAATTTTTCAAAATGTTTAGTGTTTAGTTTTTTTTTTTTGGTACCTCAGAAACTAATAAAACATCAATAAACCAGAGTTTCAAAGTACTTTATTTTGAATCGAGCTTTATGAAATATTTTAAGAAAACTTTACAACCGTATCATGAGCTGTTTCCATTTTAAAACATATAACTTTACAAATTGTATGTTCTGAATAATCACTTAAATAAATATTTCATAATTTATATTATACTTAAGTTAAAATATATGAAATGTGAATTATATGTATACCATAATTTTATAATGTAGTCGAAACCTGGTGAAGTTGAAGAAGCAGTGAAAGTTGCGATTGATACAGGTTACAGACATTTTGATTGTGCGATGTTTTATGGAAATGAAAAAGAAATAGGAGATGCTATTAATCAGAAAATTAATGAAGGTGTAGTAGTTCGTGAAGACTTGTTTATTACTAGTAAAGTAATTACATTTTAATCTAAAGAAATATAAAAATATTTATAAAATCATAAATTATTTTCTTGCATTCAGTTATGGAATATTTTTCATCAACCTAATATTGTTGAAACAGTGTTGAAAAAAACTTTATCGGATTTACAAGTTGAATATTTGGATTTATACTTGATACACTGGCCTATGGCTTTCAAAGTACGTATTATTCAAAAAGAACACCAATAATATTTATACCTATATAAAGTAAAAATGATATAACATATTAGGAAGGCGGATTAAATGATGATTTTATTCCCAAAGACGATAATGGCGCCACGATTGAAGGTAATGGCTCATACATTGACACATGGAAAGCTATGGAAGAATTGGTAGAAAATGGTCTAACAAAATCAATAGGTGTATCAAATTTTAATAAAAATCAAATACAAAAAATATTAGAAATAGCTACTGTGAAACCTGTAAACAATCAAGTATAAACTTATACAAAATATATCTGAAATGTTCAAAGCTCGTATCATTTATATTTTTTTATTATTTATAGGTTGAATGCCATCCTTATTTAACTCAAAAAAAATTAAAAGAATTTTGTGACCAACACAATATAATATTAACTGCATATAGTCCACTAGGGAGTCCAGATAATCCATGGAAAAAACCCGAAGACCCAACTCTCTTAGAAGATCCGAAAATCATGGAAATCGCAGAAAAATATCATAAAACTTCAGCTCAGATCTTAATAAAATATCAAATTCAAAGAGGAATTATGGTTATTCCGAAATCAGTAACCAAAAGTCGTATTGAATCCAATTTTGATGTATGGGACTTTGAACTTGAACAAGATGATATTGATCAAATTGATACATTTGATTGCAATGCTCGTTTTGTGCACATGAAAGGGTACCTAACTATAATATTAATTAATTTTTTAAGATATATTTTCAAATGTATTCACTACTATTTAAAATGTTTATATATATATATATATATTTTTTTTAGGAACATGCATTTTAAGGATTATCCATTCAATGATGAATATTAAATAAATAGTGATTCGGTATTTTATTAGATACACATCAACACTTTTATCACCATGATATAATTATAATTAATAGTTAATTTAATCACTTTCTAATATCTTACTTAATCCTGCTCCTAAAAAAAAATTTAAAAAATATCATTCTTACAGTAAATTTTTAGAATTTATTGTATTGTATTTTTTTTTTTTTTTTTTTTTTTAATGCCATCAGTTTGTAAGGCAAAATATATAATTAGTATAATAAAAGTATTGTAAATCAAGTTGATGTATGAATATGTGTAGGACCTACATTGTAGGTATTATGTTTAAATAGAAGAAAGAAAGAAAAAAAACGTAGTAAATACTCCGTTATACAGAAATTTAAATTTCTTGTACAATAAAATTAATCTAACTATGATGACACAAATGCTCGTGTACTATTAGAATACTTTGGATGTAACTTAACGTTTTTTAGTTTTTTCCTTATCTGCGTGATACAGGCATGGACTAGAACTGATTGACTTAGGGAACAACTTACTTGTCATACTTAAACTAGCAAAATCACAATACATACATTATTATTTAGTTTAAACCGTAAATTACACAGACGTCGAAGACTATAATAGTTGTTAATGATGACGATATTGATAGTGATATTATTTATGGTACATAAATAAATAATTTATTGACTAATAATTTTGTTTTTTTTTTACCTAAATTGTCATCTTAAAAATAAAATATAATATCTTGTTGCCAGTGTAAATTTTTATTAAACCATCGTTTTGGACTCACTAAAATACATAGTTCCTATAAAAAAAAAATCGAAATTTTTAAAAGCATGGTAATCTAAATTCATTGATTATAGTATAAACTATTTTATAAGCAATTCTAAAACGTTGTGTGTGTGATTAAAAAACGAAAAATCACAAACTTAAGAACGGTATTAGTTAAAAACTTAAGATTTCCGAAGATTTCATTTTTTATACCAACATTTTTATCTCGTGAAAACCTTATCGTAATGGTTCAGATTCTATTTATGTTTATATCCCGAATTTAATGACTAACGAGTACCTCTACTGATAAATGTATCTATGTATTATTTTAATGCATTCCAATTTCACAATATTATTATCATTCGGCGTTTAGGATAGGCTACTAAAAATACATTACTTTTTTCGTCCTTGACTCGTCATGAAATTCAACTTCGTTGAACTGAAAATCGATTTCTTAAAATGTATTTACGCTTAATATAGCAATTTGAATGTTGCATTATAAAAATAATAAGATATAAAGGTACATTTTACTTGAACATTGTAATAACATATTAAGTCATAACATAGTTTAAGCAGTCTCTATTAGCGATAAAACCGATTTTTTTAATCAATTTTCAAATAACGAAATGGATTAAGTAAGATCAGATTGATAATTACTAATAATAATTATCGATTTAAATAAATTATTTAACTGTGTATGGAATATGGACGCACAATAAATACACCTAATGGCGCTAATAACGTCAATACCTAAAAATTGACAAATCGAATCACAACTTACAAGACATACCTACGTCAAAATATGTCGATACCGCGTGATACCACGGTAATATTTTTCTACGCATTGTCGTAGTCAACACAGCCACAATACAGCGTAGTTTGATCGGAAAAATATGACAAACATTTAACTGTTGGCTACACTGATTTAATAATTTTTTCTCAAAGATAAAATGTTAGTGAACTGGCGACTATACACTGAATTAGTAATTACTGATTATAATTATAGTCTGTTGCCCTGTGATCGCCGGCCGGTAGCCGGCTTTTACCTTGAAGTTGCTAGCCGGGCCAGCTGGCGTTTGCGTTCCCTGTTCCGGTTGTTCGGCTTTGGCATTCGCCATTCGGTCTCGATAATTGGTGGTCGGCGTCTATTATGACCGTTTTCCATAGTTGTATTATTCAGCATTAAAAATAAATTAAAAGATAAATGCGCTACGTAGCCAGCGGGCATTGGCATTTCCGCCCGATCACGGCATACGCCCTGCACGCAATAATTATTTGGTTTCTGATACTTCGGGTATTATGTTGTCGACATAATAATATCAGGCTTGATTCTTGCTAGTTACTCATCCTATAGATTTATAACACTCGAATAATATTCATTGCTCGTTTTGTTACTATCGACTATCGAGCATAGTAGTACCACAATCATTAAAATATAGTAATCATGGGACTTTTTAAGATACAAATCAAAAGCACTAACTTTACTATTGCACTACACAGTAAGGAGTAGGAATGTGGATAGAACAACGATTGCAAGGTAGAGATAATTATTAATTTTTTTCATTAATAAAAATGGAGCAACTAACTGAACTAACGCAGTAAGTTGCTTGCCTTGTTCATGGATTCGTGATAAAGTTATGAACGACGCTTTTTATGCGATCCATACTGATTCTTGAAAGTCGAATGCCGCTAATCCCCTGTGGTCCATCACCGAATACTCAAAAACTAAAGATCGAACACCTGTTTGATTAACACGAGGTTATTGGTTATTTACTATAGTGACTAATGACTATAGTTATTTAATAGTGACTACAAATTTTGTGAAATCATAAGGGAAAAATGATTGCAATATTTGCAACAAAGTTAACAATTTGTGATGGAATTCAAAACGTTTATTTTAGTAATAAAGACATAAAATGATAAAATAAATACTATATAACACTAAAACGATGAACGAAATGTAAATAATAAATAATAAAACAACGTGATGAATGTTTGTTAAATTGTTGTCATGGTTAAAGGTAATTAATAATAAAACTATAAAACAATAAAATATTAAAACATACAAAATGAAAATGAGTAAATTATTAATATTATTATATTAAATATTAACACAGACTACAGTATACCAAATTTAAGTGGGAGTTACGTTGGTCGGGCTGTTTTTGTTACCGAGTTTGCGCTATAGTATACATTAATATAACTATATATAAACCGTTGATGGTTAATGTTATCTCCCTCAAATAAACAGTCCAGTCAGTCAACGACGTGTCCACGTACCTCAATATACTATATAGTCACACTATTCACTATTCAGTCCTTCAGTTTATCGGTTCAGTTGTAACTTGTTAGTATTTGTTGCACAGCACATAAGGAAGATACTGGTTGATTAATTTATTTTATAATTTGTTTATAAATACCAAACGCAAATTAATTTCAAACGAAATGGCATCAAAAAATCAATTTGTCACATTTAATAATGGTCAGAAATATCCAATTTTAGGATTTGGAACTTGGAAGGTAGACAATAAATTAATTAAAAATAACTAATACCTACAATTTAATTTTAATTATGTTTAAGTTATGAAATGTTTAGAAATAAGCTGTAGGTGCTTCTATTAAGTACCTACTAAATATTTAACTTTTTCTAGTACTTTCAATCACTGTACATTTTAATTTAATCCATAACTGAATTAAGTAGATATCTAGGTAATTATTTTAAGCAATACAAAGTAATAGGTATAAGTCCTATTTTTACGTTACAAGCTATGTAGGTACTATTGTTAAAATTGTAGCATTCCTAGGTTTTAAATTAAACATAAGAACGCATAAAGTACTTTAAGTAGATACAGAATATTATTATTCATATATTTTGCTTATATTACCTGTACAAGAGGTTTGAACAAACCAATGTATGTTGATACTAAGCATTAGACTCTAAAATGACATATTAAATCTTTATAATTAGTAAGATTTAAGTATAGGTAGTTTATATCATTGACCGAAAACCTATAACCTATGCTTAAACTTGTCAAGCTATAATATTGAAATACTATGATAGAATTAGATTACATAGTTTTTAAATAATAAAACACTTAATGATTACTAAAAGTATGTAATAAATTATGCTCATAATTAATTTTATTTTTTATTTATAGTCAAAGCCTGGTGAAGTTGAAGAAGCAGTCAAAGCTGCTATAGATACAGGATATAGACATATTGATTGTGCTATGGTTTATGAAAATGAAACTGAAGTAGGGAAAGCTATTAAGCAAAAAATTGATGAAGGTGTTGTTAAACGTGAAGATTTATTCATTACTAGTAAAGTAAGAATATTTATTAATTTTTATGAATTAAAATAACTATAAACACTACATTTTTAGTTGTGGAATACTTTTCATCAACCAGATTATGTTGAAACAGTACTAAAAAAAACTTTATCTAATTTGCAAATTGAATATTTGGATCTTTATTTAATTCACTGGCCTATGGCTTATAAGGTATGTTTTAGCTAATTACGACTAAGTAGGTATCTATAATAATTAATTTTTTATTATATTAGGAAGGTAAGTTGGAAGATGAATGGTTTCCAAAAGACGCTAATGGAGTTACAATCGAAGGAAATGGTTCTTACATAGAAACATGGAAAGCAATGGAAAATTTGGTTCAAAAAGGTCTTGTCAAGTCAATTGGTATATCAAACTTTAATAAAAAACAAACAGAAAACATATTAAATATAGCTACCATAAAGCCAGTTGTTAATCAAGTATGAATTTAATACTAATATATATAATATATACTAGATATCCCTATACATTTCGTTGCCTGTACAAAATGCATCCACATTAAATTTAATGTGGAATGTGTGGATAAATAATATTTTTGATTTTTTGATTTGGTGTATAGATGATATTTTTGACATATCAACTTTACATAGCTGTTTCATCCCACCCAATGTTGATTTTTTTTTTTTTAACTATATAAATTTGATTTTCTTTTCATTCTAGACCATCAGCTCATAAAGTATCAATAGTGCAAACCAAAAACAACAAAAAATACTTGTACTGTTATACTACATCAACTATTCTCTAATTTACTAATTTCTAATAATAATTGATTATTGGTAACAAAGATAAAAAAAAAATTCTTTGTATGCGTATTTGCCACCATAATATATCTAAAATATAGATAAATGTAAAAATGAAAATCTTTGTCATGCATATTCTCTGAAACTACTCATCCAATTATCTTGATTTTTTTAATGAAAAAGTACATTGTGGAGCAGGCTTAAATTTTGATGCTACAAATGACTTCAAAATTGAGTTATTCATTTATTAAATTATCAGCTAATATGCACTTAAAGATATATTTTTTCATCTGTGTTACCAATTATTAGTTATTATTAGAAATTAGTATTTTAGTGAATAGTTGATGTAGTATAGCAGTACAAAACTTTTTCATTATTTTTGGTGAATACTATTGAAACTTGTTGAACTGTTGGTTTTTGGTCCAAAATCTAATTTGTGTAATTAAAAAAAAAAATTAATGCTGTTAGTCAAAAAAAAAAATAATACCGGGCAGGCAGCTTATGTAAAGTTGATGAGTCAGAAGTATTATGTGTACACTAAATCAAAATGCCAAAAATATTATGTATCCACAAAAATAATACTAAATATTAGAATTAGGCAACCAAGTGCACAGGGATAGCTAATTATGTATGAAATTTAAAATAAAACACAAATACTTTATCTTTGTTTAGGTTGAATGTCATCCGTACTTAAATCAAAAGAAGTTAAAAGAATTTAGCGAACAAAATAATATACTCATAACTGCATACAGTCCTTTAGGATCTCCAGACAGACCTTGGGCAAAACCAGAAGATCCGTCTCTATTGGATGACCCAAAAATTGTTGCTATTGCAAAAAAATATAATAAAACTACTGCTCAAATTTTAATTAAGTATCAAGTACAAAGAGGCATTATTGTCATTCCAAAATCTGTGACTAAGAGTCGTATTGAATCAAACTTTGATATATGGGATTTCACATTGGAACAAGGAGATATAGATGCAATTGATACTTTTGATTGTAATGGCAGAGTTCTTCATCTTAACTGGTATGTTGAAATTTGATAATTATTAAAAAATAATGTATAATTGGATTTTTATTATTTATAGTTTTAATTAACATCATATATTTTCTTTTATTTGCAGGAATAGTCATTACAAGGATTATCCATTCCATGATGAATATTAATATTAATTAAAGAATTTTCTGCAATAAAACTTATAATTTTTAATTTTGTTGCCATATGATTTAAATGTATGGCATATTTTAATTTTATAATAGTCAAGTTAATAGATTTTCATAAATCACGCATAATTTGATACTTTTTTATTATTATATAAACACATCAAAAAAGCTATTAATTTACAATAGTTATTACATTTCATTTCATATATTATTCTAGTTTGTTACTTTAAATTTAGATTACCTTATTTTGTGGAAAATTATAAAATATATATTTATATACTTATTTAAAAGTTACTTTTTGGTTTCAATTATATTTTTTCACTAGGTATTAAAATAATTGAATTAGTGACAGAAAATTAAATGGTTTTTATCAAAATATTATTAAATTAGTTTTGTTATGTACCTATTGCCTATGCATGTATATAAAACCCTAGTAAAATATATAATTTGTTTATTAACATTAAAATAGAGAATGACATGTATAATAACCAGATAAATAAATTGATTAAATAGATTTAAACTACAAAGATCTACTTTTAAAATCAAGTACAATCTCAACATAATCATCATTTATCTATAATCAAACATAATATACATTATATAGGTTTCGAATTGAAATAATATGTGTGATTCTTAATTATAATAAACTATAAAAACTTACTGTGAGATTTAAAGTCTTAAATTATAATTATAATTTAGTAGCTTAATTAAAAAAATTATTTCAGTACTATACATTATTTAAATTGTTTCTTAAATTATGCAACTTTTTTCCATTTAGACATATCACACATATTATTTACCTAATGACTTTTTTTAATTTTGGGATTAAATTAATAAAATGATTACACTTATATTTGTATTCATTTTAAAAATTATTTTTAATTATATTATTTATTTTTAGTGGTTTATACTTAATCTACAAACTAATATGCAAAATATACATTTAAATAATAAATATGTTAATATTAAAATAATCTAAATACTAATTAATGATTAGGTAAGTATCCTAGATATAGAAGGAACCTTTGTTATTTTTTTATATTATGTGCCATGTATTAAACATTTAACAATTAAAAAAAATTGTAATAATGGAAAATATACTTAAATAAAAAATTCTGATTAAAAATTATAAAAACTAAATAACATGTTCAAGGCTAAATATCTAACCAATGTAATCTTCATATTGTATGCCTTTAAATGATAAATTTAGAATTATCAATAACTAATTAAACTAAATAAGAGATATGAAGGTCACTTCATCATCTAGAAAATGTATTTATATGAATTCCTTTTGTAATTATATTTTATTAATGGCTATTAATCATGTTAATTATTATTTATTAATCACTAATCATTACATGCTTCACTTAAAATTCAAATCTATTTTATTCATATACATTTCCACATAAATGTGTGAATGTATATTATTAAACAGAAGCGATGACCATTGGATAACTAGGTACTCAAAATATTGAATATATTTTACTTAAAACTTTTTTATTTCAATAGAAATAAAATGTATTGGTTTTTTTTTTTTTTTCATTTATGTTTCTATAGTTGTCCGATTTTATTATCATCATATGTGATTTTTCTCTCTATATATTATAATATACATACCTACCATTTCATATAATACTGATCTAGTTTTTAATTACCCATAACCTATAGGGTTATCTGTTTGTACTGTTTTTTTAAAATAAATTTCGGAATAGATGTACCATACATTTACGCTTTCAACAAAACAGTAGGTAATCTACCTATAAGTAAATAGTTACAGTCTATATAGGTAGGTTGATAAGTATAATATATTAATTAATAAGTAATTAGTTAAACATTTTAAATTTTAATGTATTAAATCTAAAAATATGTTATTACTTCGCGCCTTTTAACTAATACCTAACCAGTTAATCTAACCTAGGAACTAAACATGTCCAATTTTTTTGATAAATAAAAAATAATAGGTGTCGTAATGTCGTTTGATGTACTATTACTATTACTTTGTAGGTATTTAAAAAATAGTAAGTTCCTACGTCGTTACCTACGTATGGTAAAATTATTACGCGTTAGTTTTTAGTGCTCTTAAACGCAGGGGCGTTTCGTCAGGTGAGAACTTTGAGACTATGTCCTCCTTAAAACAGCTGCTTATAAATTAAATAATAATTAATTAAAAATAAAAGTGTATCGAAATATTTTTGTTTGAATTGAAAAAATATTATATTTTTTTTGTTTTTTTGTTTTGTTTATTATTATTGAAGGCCGCAAAATCTAAAACCTATAAATAGTTATTTCGATTAAAAATTAAAATATTAAGTATATTAGTAATTTCAATCGTAACATGCAAAGAGTGGCTGCTTTATCGTCCGGAGAGGTCTGAGGAGATTAAGCTGCGTATTATAATAATTGCTGTTGAAACAATTGAAACTGGGTTCACAATATTTGTCGTGCCGCTGCACCGTCATAAATCATAATTAATTAGGTACATTCATAATTTAATAATTATTATACGTTTATACTCTTCGGTATTTATTATTTTCGGCGTATTTTTAATGTTTGTAGTTATTTTCAAAATGCAAAATTACCAAATAATAATAGACTTTTGAAATTGAAATCATTAATCTCTTTGAACAGTATAAATTTAAGCATATACAATTATTTAATTAATTAAGTATAAGGTACCATTTAAGCATAATTAATGTTACAATGAGAGGGTTTTTCTTGTTCATTGTTGTACGGAGTTTATACGGCAGAAAAATGTTAAAAATAAATAAAATTTTCATACTTTTTTTGACAATTACTGTGTGCGTTGTATTATGGATATTGCATAGGTACTCATTACTCACTAAGTCACGTCACCTTCAGAATTGACCGTACCGATTTAGCTTAGAATAGCGAATGACAAATTATGTCAATCTCTCTATCCTATGCTAATAATAATATATCCGAAATAAATAAGTAAGTTCGGCAATAAACGTCGGAAATACTTTACTAATCGTCCCAGCTGTTCGAACAGATCGAACTTCTGCGAGTCGCAGACTGCCACAGCTGCATCGCCACTTACTTGAGTTCACGCTCAATGTTTATTAAGTAACTAATTTTCTCTCGAAGAATAAAATATAATTTTGTCTCAAAATGTATTAATATATTTTATTGTGTTAAAGCATTTCAAACGTCAACATCAATCCTTCCTTCTACCAACGTAGTTATAGGTAATGAATTTTGACACAAATTCAAATAATAGGTAACTCTCTTCTGACTAATTTTTTACGCGAATTTCAAGCGCTAATAATCAGTTGTAACTTGTAATTTCTTCTCACTATAGTTTTTGATTGACATGATTTAAAATGTTAAATAAATAAATAACACTTTTACATCTCAGTCAAATCATTTTACTTTAAAATGCCAATATTCTAATCAATCATAAAAAAAAACTAATTACGGTTCTAAATAAAAAAATAAATTTTAAAGCACTGATCTCAAAAACACATTTTAGGTGTCATCCTGATGGAGGGGCCGCGATCATTTTATTAAATCATTGCTCCAATTTACCCCTGATCCTTTAGTTAGATTTTATACAAACGGCACTAACTATCTTTAAGTTAATCACTACCGCCTAGGTATTCATTACTGTAGAAACGTAGGTACCTACTATCCTTAATATAAAATTACGCCTTCACAATTAGAATCCTACTTAATTTCTCTTCGTGATTACTGAAATGTAGGTGGTTATTTAAACGTTATAAATTAAATTTGGGGCTGTCACACAATAAACCCAAAATGCATTCTTTATTTAAAGTCAAAGTGGCTACATCCTCTTAAAATTGTTTCCGTTTTCGCCTTGCGAACCATTCGAATACACTTACTTTTACACTCAACTCATTAAACATTTCTGGAAATCCAGCGCGAAGACTTAAAAGGTTGTGGACAGTTAAGTTATGATGTTACGATTGTTTGGTTTAGTTTAGTTAACTGACAGTAAAAAAAATAAATAATAATAATAATAATAAATGTATAATATATATATATATATATATAATAGGTAGTTTAACAAGAAAGTAACAAATTTTTCATGCGTTTAAATATTACTACCTACTGAGTAATTACTCTGTCAAGCTTTCATATAATTTATATTATAATTTTTATTTCCTAGTTCCTACATCATTAGGCATTTTGATATTTGTAAGTAAATGTAACCATCATGGCATCATCATTCATCACAGATTGTATAATACATTCTGATAAATGTTTAAAAAAAAACAGGATAATACCAAGGTATTTTAGGTTAAATAATATTTTTATCTAACTGATAATAAAATAGATGAAAACCTTACAACTTTTAAACTATACAATTTGTCATTTATCAGTATAATAACTATAATAAATAATAATTTGATAAATAGATACTTAAATTAGTTAAATTACTATTGATGAGCAATGAATATTGACTACTGACATTTAACATTCTGTCTTCTGTATAAGTTACTGTGTATATTATATAACTAAAAAGTAAAATACTCCAATAACCAGTATCATAGTTTACATTTTAATTTTAACATTTTATAGTATCATACCTTCATACTTAAAACTATATCTAGTTCTACATTTTTGTTTTAAGAAGTATTTTTTTAATTACCAATCAGATAAATACTTTAATATGGCATCTAATTTGACAAAAATGGTTAAGTTTAATAACGGTCAATTATATCCAATCTTAGGTCTGGGGACTTGGCAGGTAATGTATATTTATGTATCTACCTATATTTACTTAATAATTATTACTACTTACATTGTTTTTTGTTATTTTTTTTTTATTTTCTCATAAAGAAGGTTTATTTACAATCTGTATTTTAAAAGTATATACAATATACAAACGAGATAATAAAGATACAAGTATAGTAGAGATAGTAGAGGGAAAGATGCCCATTGGTGGCACCTCGGAAAATGTTTCATGATTATAACTTATAAGTAAAACTATATAAAATGTTCATTTTTCTAGGCGTCACTATTCATTGATGATTCACAGCACACTGAGATCATTAACTCTATAAAAAGTGCAATTGACATAGGATATCGTCATTTTGACTGTGCTGCTATTTATAACAATGAAAAACTTTTGGGAAAGGCTATAAATGATAAAATTTTAGAAGGTGTTGTTAAAAGAGATGAACTATTTATCACTAGTAAGGTATGTCGTGAATATATATTTGTAGAAATTATAATTATTTTAATGTAAATCAAACAATGTTTATGTATATTTTAAATGTCTTGAAAGAATTTAGAATTTGTTTAAACTAAATACTAACCTTGACTTATATACTTAAATACTTTCTATAACTATTTACATAAAATTAAGGATTATAATATTTTGTAGGTACTCAATACATTTATTCTATAGTCGTAAGTGACAATTATTTGGTTGTAAATATATTGATGAAAAAATTACATAATAATTCCAATAAAATAATGATAGGCTAACAAATTAAAAATGGATTTTACTTACCTATACGGCTATACTTCTGTTTTAAATCACAAAATAAATATATTATTAGTAAACTGTAGAATTCTGTAATTATGCTTAATAATAATCAATTTGTTATTTTTAGATGATATTAACTTATTTGTTTAATTTGTTTAAGCTTTGGAATAATAAGCATAGATTTGAACTGGTAGAAGAAGCACTGAAGAATACTTTGAATGATTTATGTTTGAGTTATGTAGATTTATATCTTATTCATTGGCCTTTTGGAACTAGTGTAAATAATATTTTAAATATGTATAAAACTTAAAATCAAAATTTATCTACCAATAATATTATCATCATGTTTTATATTTTAGGAAGATCCTAATGCTACTGACAGTGAAGGGCGATTATTAGGCTCTGGTATTTCTTACTTAGAAACTTGGAAAGCCATGGAAGGATGTGTTCAAAAAGGTCTCACAAAATCGATTGGAGTGTCAAATTTCAATATTAGACAATTAAAAGATATTTTGGAAATAGCTACTATTAAACCAGTTGTAAATCAGGTAAATCAGTTTTAAAACATACGTATATTTTGTTCTAAGTTTGATAATTAAGTTTGAAAACTTTTTTATAAACTATATTTTTTTATAACAATAATTTTAAATCAATGGATATACACTATTTATTTTATTTAGTCTATAAATATGTATTATATTTATGAAGGTACAAGTTTAAAATAATAATATTAATGTAAACAATTTGTAAAACATTTTGTTATTTTAGGTTGAATGTCATCCTTATTTATCACAAAATAAACTGAAAGAATTTTGTGAGAGTAATGGTATACTATTAACTGGTTATGCACCATTAGGATCAGCAAAAAGATCGTGGGCAGGACCAGAAGAAGATGCTATTTTAGATGAACCTATTGTAAAACAGTTAGCTGATAAATATAAAAAAACTAATGCTCAAATATTAATAAAATTCCAAGTAATAATTTTATTAGATATTTTTCTAATTTGTTTCAAACTTTTTTTGTATTAAAAAAAATTTAAAAAATAGATTCAAAGAGGTATTATAGTCATACCAAAATCATCCAATCCAAAGAGACAGAAAGAAAATTTTGATGTTTGGGATTTTGAGTTAACTTCACAAGATATAGATTTACTTGAATCGTTGAATAAAAATGCTCGTTATTTTGAATATAATTCGTAAGTTGAAAGTATTATTATTTTATATTCTTAAATAAATATTTAAAAAATGTATTGATCTTTCTCTTCTTTTTTTTTTTTTTTTTTTAGTGCAAATCATTTAAAAGATTACCCATTTTTTGATGAAGCCTAATTTGAATATTTGAAGATAAAATTTAAGATTTTGGCTAAAATTAAAATCTCAACGCTTATAAATATTAAATATGTTAAAAATGCAATATTGATTAACCTTATAAACCATAATGTACAAGTTTATTAGTACACTTGTTTTTTAAATTATATTTTCTTAATGTTTATTTTTCTTTGTTTATACTGACGTTTTTCTAAACAAGTCTTGTTTTCTTTTCATAAACTGATAGATTAATTTCATTTTAAATTAAATATCAAGTGTGTAATAATAGTTAAACTGTTTTTTGTCTTCTGCTAATTCCGCTTATACTAAAATATAATTATTATGATTATATAAAATACTTATTAAAATACTTTGAAGTAAGTATTAACTGTATCGTAAGTGATCTACTTAAATTTTATAATATGTTACTCATTGGTGTCATAAGGTAATAAAAAAAAAAAAAAAAAAATACATACAAATTATTAAAGTAAAATTTATTAAATATTAATTTATAATAAAGTATTTCCCATAAAATATTATCATTAAAAAGAACACAAACAAATAATTAAAAATCATTTATTAAAATGTATTTATAAAAAATGGTGTTGTATAAAAATATTATTACTACTATTAATTATTCAAGTAAAGTTGCTTTTATACCATTTAAAAAATCATCAATAACTGAATCTTATAATGATTGCATAGATCACAACTATTTTTTGCAATTGTTTTTTTAGCAAAGGAGAAATTCCATTGACACATATTGAATATATTTGCTTCTTATGACACTATGCACCTTTAATATGCTGAGTTTATGTTCTAGTTTATGAATTTATAAACGTGGTCCTTATTTTTATTGATTAGCTTAATAAATTATAAATTATACTAATTTTTGTACATCCATTTCGACACATTTACCTATTGTAATTGATGAGAGAATAATACTATGTACAATTATTGAAATTACATTATTTTCTTGCTTCTTAAAATTTATTTAGCTACTGGTGCCCAAATCTCTTATCATTTTTTTTTATACTGTATAAACAAATATGTTAGTAATTTTAATATATTTTTATTCTGTTAATTAACTTCTTTCACTTCTTTAAATGCATTTTCTTACACTTCCAGTTGTTTTTTATTGATTTATTCCGATTAATTTTTTTTCATACTTTTTAATACATTAATCTTCATTTTGGGGTGAGCTATTAATAATCATTCATCAATAAATCTGATCGTTGTTTTGATTTAAAAATCAAATTAAACTTGTAAGTTAATAACAATGTAATGTTTATATAGGTACTTTCTATTATAACTAATTAAATATATTATTTGCCATGAGTGTTACAATAAGCATAAAAAAAGCAGTCATCCAATGGCATCACTTCATAATTAAAATGTTAATAATATAACAAATAAAATATTTTTTCAACAATTATACTATATTATTAATAGGAGAATAAATTATTTTAATAGCAATTTAAATATATCATTAGAAATACTTGTACTAATATAACATGCTAAGCTAACTCTTAATTATTTTTTGTATGCAATGATTTATTATTGAATTTAAATTTAATACATTAAGTACATTATAGTAATTAGTTCAATGGCAAGGTAGACACTCAATGCTTACTGCATGGCAGAGTGGTTAGGTATACCTACTTTGAGTGTTTTTTCCTTTTTTTTTATACTTATATTTATGTATCTAGGTAATAAAAAGTTCATTCTTTTTATACTGAAGGTAATTAGGTACTATTTATAATACATTTAGTAACTAAATATTAAACACTTCAAACTGTGAGATTACTTGTATATCATATATTATCAGTATTAGGAACGTTCAGTCTTTTAAGAAGGAAGTCGTTCATTGTGTTTTTTTCAAACAAACGTATTTACGTTCATTGAAAAAATGAACGTATTCAATAACTTTTATTGTTTTTTTTGTAAATAGTTTACCTGACTCAACCCAACAATGAAAACACAATTTAGTGCATATAAAAATTTTGAAAATGATAAAATTAAGCAAATAGGTACTAGAGAACTAGGCACACAACAGAGATTTAATAATTTGTCATCAAATAAAATAAGTATATATTTAATGGGAATTATAATTGGAAAATATTATATAAAATAAAATAATCAATATATTTTTTGCGTATATTTAATAAATTGTAAAAAAGTTGAGCGTCTTAAAAATCGTTCAAATCCGTTAAAAATATAAACGTCGGTTCGCGTTTATACTATTTGAATATATTGATGTGAACTATGAACGACGTTCTTTCCAAACACTGTTAATATACATATTAGGTAGGTACTGAACTATCGTTCATTCCGCTCAGAATCTAAAAGCGTCATATTAGGTACCTATGTTAAGAATTTTATTTTGTTTGGGGGGAAGAGGTGTCGCCGCATACTCGGCTCCTTCTCACTCCTAAATAAATAAATAAATTAACCATAATATTTATAATATGTACCTAGGTATAAATGTTTAAGGATTTTTATCATCATTTCGTTTGTGTTTTAATATTAAATATAGTTGTAGAATAACTTTGATTTTGGGACAATCATTATTCATTATGTATTTCTGTGGTTCAAAAGATTTAAGGAGAGAGGTCCTATCACAGAATACTGTTTTCATTAGGTTGATATTATTATTATCAAATTTCTATTAAGTTAATACCTATTCATTACAAATAGGTATATAGGTATTTAATATTTTTATTTATACATCTGTGGTATTAAATAATAATTATTAAAACTATTATAAAATATAAATACTAAATACTAAAATAATTATTTTATTATAATAAACCGATTAGTTTTAGCCTTTAGCACCATGGCAGTCATGCCACCATAAACTATAGATAAACTATGACTATTTAATTTCTTGTGTGTGGATTTTAAAAAGCAGTTAGCAGTGCCTTATTAGTTATTAGTTATTACCATTACCTAATATTTTAGTTCTAAACTTCTAAAGTAAATCTAGTCTCTAGAGCAAGTTCTATACATCAATCTTCATTTCATCAATTATTGTATTTATCGTTTATGGTGATCATATTTTTATAGAAATATAATAGTTTTTGTCTTATTTTTCGCGCTCATTTCTTGCGATTGAGTAATTTTTGTATTGTAATAATATGTCGTCGTCTTCATCTGTGAAAATGGTGAAGTTTAACAATGGTCAACAGTATCCAATTTTAGGCTTGGGCACTTGGCAGGTAATATCAAAAATTGTTTAACTTTTTTAATATATATTTTTTTATTGTTTTCATTTTGTTTTCTTTGTTAAAGAATTAAGTAGTTATATTTTTGTATGTATCTATTTGAAAATATTTGTTACACATTTATTTACTTATACTATGTATACTTATTGTGAGATTATATCATTCATTTTTAGACCAAACCTGAATTAAAAGAATCTGAACAGATAGAGATTTATAATGCAGTAAAAAGTGCAATTGATATAGGATATCGTCACTTTGATTGTGCGGCTTTTTACAACAATGAAAATTCCATAGGAAAGGCTATTGCCGAAAAAATTAAAGAAGGAGTTGTGAAAAGAGAAGAATTATATATTACTAGTAAGGTATGTACCTTAAAACTGTATTATGATATTGCCAAATTACTGTTTAATTCTAAATCTTGGTGTCACATAATTCTAAATTAAAAATGTCTTGTTTATTATTTTTTAATTATATAAATTATTAAATTATTTATAATTATTAAATATATACATATTTTAGAATATGATGTTAAAGATTCAAAAAGTTATTTCAGTTACTACTAAGACAAGAATGTTACGTTTTAGTTGTTTTCCCACCTATTTTATACAATATTATTAAAAAGAGCAGTACTATTTCTTTTTATGAATAATAATAGTTTATTTGTACCTAAATAATATAATGTATTCAGTAGTTGAATTATATCATTAAATTTAAAATTGTACTAGGTACATTGTTGCTAAGTGTTATTAGAAAAAATAAAACCAAGAAATAATTGAACAATTACATTACTGATAATTTTTTCATCTTATAATTTTATTTAATTATAGGGTAATTAATTGATAATTTTAATATTTTTCTAGATACTACAATTTAGGTCTTATAGACAATATGTTATTAGACATGTATAGACAAATGCAGGTTATCGTCTATATGAACCTTCTTCTTCTTAATAATATTAGTTGTATGAATTAGTTTTATTTTTATGAAGTTAATATAATTTATTTTTTATTTATATTTTGATTACCACTTTCAATACCAATGCTGAAGTAGTTTTTTTAAGGCAATTGCTTCAAGATCAAAGTGGGATGGGTGAATAGGTAGATGCCAGACAACAGATTTAGTGTGATCAAAAATTTTTCATAGTAATATTTATATTGTACTCAAAATAAAGAAAAAAAAATGCAGATTAAAAGTTATTGTGCATGGTTGGCCAAATGGTAGTTTGCCTCAGGTCTGAAATCTTTTCAGCATACTATTGACCACTTAAATTTATATTTTTTTTTCACATATTTTTTTGTTTAGTTATTATATATTATTTAAAGTATTATATTAATGTATTCAAATTGTTATTTTTTTAGCTATGGAATAATAAACATAAACCCACAGAAGTAGAAGATTCATTAAAGAATAGTTTAAGATTGCTGGGTTTAGATTACCTAGATTTATACCTTATTCATTGGCCATTAGCAACAAGTGTAAATAAGTTATTTTTAAACTATTGTGTAGCTTTTAAGTGGAAATTAATTTTTTTTATAATTTTAGGATCATCTTACTGTTATAAATGGTGAAAATGTTTATATTGGCACTGATGATTCTTATTTAGATACATGGAAAGCTATGGAAAAATGTGCCCAATTAGGACTCACAAAATCAATAGGAATTTCAAATTTTAATATTAAACAAGTAAAAGATATTTTAGAAATAGCAACAATAAAACCAGCTGTTAATCAGGTAATAGTACTGGACAAATCATTAAATCTAAAAATTGTACTTAACTCAGCACAGTTAATCAAAATTGTCAACAATTGTTAAATTCTGTGGTGTTATGCTACTTAATTTATTTTAATGACTGAGAATTCAAAACATCTTGATTATTTTTAGTAATCTTAAATTATGTAAAATATTCATGTACCTAAATTAAATTTAAAAAAATATAAATTAAGGAATTAATATAACGGTACATTAAATCTAATTAAATATAAATGATTTTTAAAAATAATTGAATAATATTAATAAATTTATAAATTATATAATAACTTTAACATATAATCATATGGTATTAATTATCATTAAGTAATTAAATAAATTTATTAACTTTTAATTTTTTTCCATAATTCCTTTAAACTCATTATTGTATACTAAATAGATATTTTTACTTCACATTAAGTATTTAATAACCTAATCAAATTTATTGAGTGTAAATTATTGAGTTAGTTATATCTATACATAATTGATTAACAATAAATATTTTACTACAGATTTATATTACAGCCCACAGCTAGCAGACTCATACCACCTTACTAGGGACATACATAAAAAAAAGTTTTGGGTGGTGTTTTTGAAAATCAGTTATTGAAAAATGGAATTTTTTTTAATCAATATAGGAAATACACAATAGGTATATCTAATAGGAAATATGCCAATAATACACAACAGGTATAATTTTATTTCATTTATAAATCCTGTTTTAGTATTTTTATTAGTTTTTTCAAATTATATTAAAATTTTAATTTGTTAATATTAAATTTTAATTTTGCTTTAGCTGATTTTTCACAAACATAATGTAATATTATACTTGTCTAAAAGTATAATATAATGATTAACATTAAAATGTAATAAGTAAATAATCATACAAATAATCAAATATATGGGGGGGGGGGGTGTTTGAACATTCAAAACACCCCCCTGTGTATGTCCCTGCACCTTATCCACTTTACTTAGCTAGAGTACTATGCTTCTAAAAATTATTTTTATAGCATTGATTATAAATGCTAGTATTTATAATTAATGGTATTAATTATAAGTGGTAATGGTAATATTCAAGATAATCCTTACAAATGTTACATTGTATCTCTAAAATTGTAATTCATTATAAATTATAATTCATGTAATAGCTATTGATGTAATTTTTTAGGTTGAAAATCATCCTTATTTAACTCAAAATAAACTTAAAGAGGTTTGTGAGAGTAATGGAATACTATTAACTGCTTATGGACCTTTAGGATCACCTTACAGAGTAGCAAACTCAAAAGGATTAGTACTTTTAGATGATCCAATAGTTAAGCAAATAGCTGATAAGCATAAAAAGACCAATGCTCAAATATTAATAAGATTTCAGGTAATGATGTACTTAGTTATTTTTAAAAGAATAGATTTGTATCATTTTTTTATTTTTACGATTGCAAGAAAACTTAATTATGTATTATTGTCATATGATATGCAGTGTTGTTTAAATTCTTTAATTGTTACATATTATAGAAATTTTAATCAGAACAGCTTATTAATACTAGTTCCAAAAAACAAATGTTGTATATACCAGCGTTTCTCAACCTTTTTGTGGTGGCGACCCCTTTTTTGAATTTCAATTTTTTAGCGACCCCCTACATATATTATATTTTTTTGTATATTTGCATAGATTATTATTAATTACTGTAATAATACTGTACACGATACAATGTTTTATATTTATTGATTTTATTTTTTCATTATTTTATTTTATTATTTGAACTTTAAAATTTTTGTATTTAAATTTTAAATCATACGTTAGCTACCCTAATTAATAAGTTGGCGACCTCTAAGAGGGTTGTGACCCCCTGATTGAGAAACACTAGTATATACTCTATAACTCTAGTTTCAATTAATGCTCTTAATTTATAGATCCTTTTTATTAAATTTTTTTGTATTGTTAAATTAAGGTTCAAAGAGGTGCCTTAGTCATACCAAAATCATCTAATCCAGAAAGACAAAAAGAAAATTTTGATATCTGGGATTTTGAGATAAGCAAGGAAGATATGGATTTACTGGAGTCATTAAACCAAAATTTACGTTATGTTCTTTTCAAACCGTAAGCTAAAATAATGAATATAATATTGTGTAGTTTATTTTTCAAATTTTACTATTTTAATTTAATTGTATTTCTATTTTTCTTTTTTTAGAGGAATGTACTTGAAAGACTATCCATTTAATGAGGAACCATGAACATCAGTGATTAATAGACTAATAAAAGCAGTGTTCTAATACTGTAGTGTTCTGAATAAGAAATATAAGAATAAATTAAATTTGTCTTTTAAAATAGATCTGAGAGACTCGAAAATTAAATTATTATGTAAAAATATCTAAAATTAAAAAAATCAAGATAGCACAGATGTCTAGTGTTGGCAAACATTATGTTACTTTGGAAGTTTGTGGTTTATTATTATAAATTTAAAAGTAGTAAAAAATATATATACCTATTGTATTGTAATTTAATATGTGATAGTTATATTATTATTACATAAACATTTTAAGATGATTATTAAAATAATTTATGCTCATACATAATTTTTTAAATGAAATATGTTCCTTTGATTTAGTTAAGTATTTATTGAAACATTTTGAAAACAAATTAATCATATTACCGAAAGTATCATACATATTTTTTTATTTCTCATTGTGTAATGCATATTAAATAGAAATTATAGAAATAGATTTCTCATTATAAATCTGTATCTTAAAATGTTTTATGATTGTTTTTTTTTTATTATTCAGTTTTGTTACTCCTGTAATAAAATTGATAACAATTATAATATTAAATTAAAAACATTACTTATATAAATTAAACTAGTGATGTACCATAAATAATAGTAAATAAAATGATGTGTTATTAGAAATAGTAATTTAAAATATAATATTGTGTAGCTTAGTTATAAAACGAGAACATATCTTCTTAAATATTTTCTCTTAAGTCCATTTAATAATTTTACTTAAGTTTTGATAATAGAATACTACATAGAATTCTCTGCTTGTTCTTTCAAACTAATCATGAAAGTACACTAGAATTTAGGTCATGTAATACACTGAAATATAATCATTTTCAAAATATTTTAGATGATAAGTTTTAAAGAATCAAAAAAATCTTTTTATGAACAATTTCAAAACAATAGTTGCTTTTAACATTGGAAAAATCATAATACCAATTACATAATTTATTATGATTGTGGTTAATTGCATTGCCATATATTGAAGTAATTGAGCAAATTCAAACTATAAACATTAAAATTAAAAAAAAATATTTACTTTCATATCTTTGTTTAGATAACAAGTTTAGTTTGATAAAAATTTGAGTACTTTTAGAAAGAGACTACATGCATCTAGATTCTAGATAGTTAACTCCAACAAATTTGTACCTGGGGGGGACATAGTTGGAAAAGTTACTCCTTACTCTTATGTTATTAGTTACATAATTAAGGTGTAACTAGATTATTTTTGTCACTTAAATATAAGGCGAATAGTGTTAAATTACTATTGTAACTCAAAAGTAACTTGTTAAAATGACTACTTTTAAAATTGTTCAAGTATTATGTTTTATTCATATATTATATCTGATTAAGTATCTATAAAAAAAATATTCCTAATAATCATAACCTACCTTATAATGGTTAACAAATTGCATACTTTCATTAAAGTTTAATTTCAAAAGGTTGTCTACAAATTGTGCTAATTTCATGCTTTCTGGTAAAAATGTCTGGGATTAAAATTGGTTATATATAAACATATAGGTAATATCATACCTATCTATCTATTATATTTAGATTATAACTTGTCTATTTATGTTTTAGATAAATATTTATATTCCCAATGATTTTAATTAGGTTATTAAAATTACCTATTTATTACATTTTTATAAATAACTATTGCATTTAAAATTAAAAAAAAAAATTAATATTGACAATACTGTGTATAGCTTATAGGGACCAGTCGAAAGCAATATTTAATTTTTAATACATTAAATTTTAATCTGAGAGTAACTGAGTAAATTTTGGGATAGGATTCAAGCGGAGCTATGCCCCCAAACCCCACCCTATTTGTGCCTATGACAATGAACAATGATCCTATAGCCTTATTAAAGGTGTTTTATAGAAGCTCTTGATGGGAATGATGTATGTAATTTTAGAAATTTATGTTTTATCATTAGTTAATTATTTAATATTAATTCTAAACTGCTTTGATAAAAAATCATTAATATAATGCTCGATTTCATTAACACATTAGGTACCTATACTAATCTACCATTGTTGGTTTTAACTAGGCAATTTAAAAAGGATTTTTTTACAGAACTGATAAAAATGTAACTTCTTAGTTTTTTTAACTAATTAGGTAACTAAGTTTCATATAAAATAACTTGCGTAGTTACTTTTGCGTTGTTTTAATAAATATATAACGGAGTTATCCTAACGTTACCTACTCGTAAAAGTAATTTTGTTACTGCAGTAACGAGTAATTTACGTTATGTTAATATTCTCGTATTGTTACTACCCAACACTATATCACATGAGGATCTATTACGATGATGGATCATCGGCCGTACCGTAGACCGAGTTAATAAATAATATAACGAGTACTCCAGTGATTAAGGGGTAGATAGTAGGTATGTATTTATATTATCGTGAAGGTACCTATTAGACTCTGGATTTCTTCAACATATATTACCTACTTTTATTCCGTGCAGCAACCGAGTATTACGTTTTTGAACCTATACTTGCTTACTATTATTTGTTCATCTTGATTATTATAAGACACGATAACAATTGAATACCTATAGGTTCAGCTATAATAATATTATAATAATAAATACATATCATACTGTATTAATTTATTAATTAAAGGCTTAACGATATAATTGCTATTATTAAATAGATAGGTAGGTAATTATAATATGTAACATGCAACGCATTTATTTCTTGTCGACCCATAATATAGGGTCAACATCGGCAAGACGCCAAAGGCATAGGTAGGAGCTGGTAACTGCGCATGCGGTGTGCGACATTGTAGCTGGGATCTCGGATTTTCCATTCACATCAGCGGTCGATACACGATCGGGTCTAGCTCGCCGTAAGCCTTTTCGAACGATTCTTTGGTACAGCAGTAGATGAGCCCGTCGTTGGCATCCGGTTCGGGTTCGCTGTTCGGGCGACCGTTGTCCAGGTAACCGCGGTTGTGGTGTCCGTCCGGACACGTGTTCGGGCATATGAACACGCTGTCGTCGATCTTCTTGTACGGGTTGTTGAGCCCGATGTACACTATGCCGTCGGCCGAGTCCACGTTGTAGTGCAGCTTCCAGTAGAGCAGCGGTACCGGTATGCTGTTGGGCAAGTCCAGGTACAGTGGTTGCTGGACGTTGTCCACGTCGGCCAGCGTGCACACGCCGTACGTGCCGGTGACGATCACGTGTCTGGACGAGCTGTTGTCCTTGTCCAACTTGGTCCGGGTCGACTGCTCCAGCTCGGCCCACATGTCGCCGTTAAAGATCTGCCACTGCGGGGCCACGTTCGCGTAGTAAAACCTATGTATGTGCGCAAAGTAAGTAGGCATTGAAAATGAAAATTGTTACATATTTTTTTTTTGGCAGGACGTAGGTTACCTATATGCTTCCTAATACTCTGGCCCACGAGATAGGAGTAAACCGTTTCGCGCACGTCGACGGCGACGTCAACGTTGTCGCGGTAGGTATGTTAAATTTGGGGAGGGGGCTGTACTCGGACGCGTTGTGTTCTGAACACGGTCACTTTCGTTGGTACCTACGCATTGCCGTACTAAGATCTATTTTTTTTTTGCGATGAGGGAGGTGGTAGGTTAAATCTAGAAATTGGGTGTCCGTGACTGGCTAAAAGAGGATATAATTTCATGAAATATTATTACGACATAAAAAAAAAAAAAAAAAAATTGGGTTGAGGGTAGGTACTCAGTTGTTGGTTAAATTTATTTGGTGATTTTAAAAATTGTATAAGATTTACAAATTAGATCTTAATAATGTAATGTTGTTAAGTTTTTAGGCTGCTGGATTTTTTTAAATCTTTCTGGGTACAACTTTCTTTTATTTTAATGGCCGTGGCTCTGTAAGTATTCCTACTCGTACGCGGTAAATTAATTCTATTGTGCTAATAGTTACGTCGTATTACTTACGTTGCAATTTGTTCATAAGCAAAGAAGAAGTCAGCTTTGGCTGTATAATGACCTCGGGATAGCGAGTGTTTGTTATCATTTCTTATGTACTTATCTGCAAGTTCTTCCGATCTGAGAATTTGCGCCACCGTTTTTTTCTAAACCAAAAAATGTTTTATCTAAGGATTGAAATTTTGTCATAATAAGGTTTTTTATAAATAGTTTTTACGTAACCAAAAAAATCTAAAATATTCCTATACATAAACACAGATAAATTTTTTTCATAGATATTAGAAGTTCAAATTTGGACGAAATCAGATATTTTAGCAAAGAATAACGATTTTAGTTATTTTGTTGTAATCTAAAAATATTATTCGTAGGTATACTTATTACTTTTAATGAATATTATTATGTTTTAAATACGCAATAAATTACATTTTCAAATGCTATAATTCAGGCAAAAATTAATTCGACCAACTGTATGACAATAATATTATGATAATAAAATGAATTACTTTAATCTATAAAAATATAATAAGTAGGCCGACAGTCTGTCTTCGTTCAGAATCGTTTTTCTTTCATACGAGATATTAATTTATCATTGAATTCAAATATAACGTTACAATGACTTACTCCTCGATGATTAGGTAGGTACACTATAGACACTTATTGCACAGCTGAGCGGTTACCTACTTTCTCTCTTTTTTTTTAAAATATTCATTTAAATAATAATCAGTGATTAGGATCATTCTCGATGACTAAAAAGTTGTAAGTGATCTTCAGAGTGGTTGGCTACATATCGGGTATCATAACTACATAGCAGTATTAATACTTATATTTTCTACTGTCCTAGCCTATAGATGTCTATAATACTTTTATTCAGTAAACGCCTTGCATCTTAGGCAGCCAAAGGAATTTATATTATAAATTTATAACTAGAGCATAGAAATAAATATTTGTATGCAATTCATATTGTAGAAAATGCTTATATTTCAAAAATATATATCAAAAATGAATAGTAAACATATTATGTTTGTACATAAAAATGTTTGGAAATAATAATATGTACCTATTGAAAATTGACGGATGTTTTTTTATGATTTCAAACTAAACAATTGAGACGCCAATACGCCATTAGTACTTACAGTAAGATTATAAATATTAATTACTGTTATAAGAAAATTATAAATTTATATTGCCGATTGCTATCGTATATCTTCAATTTAAATGTTGAAAATAAATTTAAGTTGTTGGAGCCGGACGTTTATTTAAGGGTTAAAAATACTGATGATGTCTACAATGTCTACACACGTGGCCATATAAAACACAGGCATACGAAATAATGAAATCAATCTATTTCAACGATCAAAATCAATTTTCCGGAAAGACTATCAAACTTTGCAGAATAGTTTGATTTTAATTATTTGTTTTGGATTTGAAAGAACACGACTAAATATATAGGTAGTTTCCAAGCTAACGAAATAAATGAACTCTAGTCAAAGTAGAACTTCTCTCTAATAATTGTGCACTGGCAACAGACGGAAAGCATAATATAAGAATTCGATTTCCGAAAAACTCTGGGTCTTGACTTTTTAAACTATAAAGAACATTTTTCGGTCGTTTTTCTTGTAATGGTCGATGATGCCGAATCTTAAATTCGTTGTGTGATTGATGTCGAATCATTCGGACGAGAAAGCGACAGCGGAATATCTTTGAAATCGACATTAGGAAAGAAAAAAATCAGGTTTCCGGAAGAAAAACTATTACCGACGTCAAGCAAAGCGTTACCGCGTCACAGCGTTGACCGCGAGAAGTATGGTAGTCTCGGAGTGCGGTTGCGATTCTCACCTGTTCTTTTAAAGTGTATTTCTTGTTCACGTCCGTCGTGCCGTACAATTCCTTGGACTTGGTGAAGCTCGGTCGCTTGCTGTACTTCTGGTGGTTGTCGTAAAACGGAAACCGGGGATCGTACCACGAGTACAACGAGTTCTTGGTCGACTTGTCGAAGCACATGCTGTACAGCCGAAGGAACGCTCGCTCGGTCTGGAAACCAACCGTGGCCACGGTGTATTTGCCCGACTGGCAAAGTTCGTCGGTGACCCGGAGCTCCGACTTGGGCATGCCGTCGCACTGGAATTCCGCGTACGGGTACGTATGTCCCCGGTACGCGAGTACGTCGTCCCCGACGCACGTGACCAACGCATCGGCCGTGTGGTTCTTCCGTATCGCGTCCGACGCGAATTTGGCAGTACCGCACGACAGTTTGAAGCTGTGTCCGCCCTTCACGTTCAGCCGGCCTTTGGCGTCCGGATATATGATCGAATACCTTTTGCCGTTGCTCGTGAAGGGTATGGGCATTTTGGGTGCATCGTTATCGTTCACCCACAGGGAACAGTCGTAGTTTTCAGCTATTACGATATAAATAATGCAATATGATATTAAAATATTGTAATATTATTATAACATTTATAACGTCTTGCGCGCAAATAATGAATAGTGAGGCGAACTATGTACGAGTAGGTGAAGCTGATTTTTTTTTTCGCATCGTCAATAATATAAAACTATGAAAATTATCGTTACCTGCCTGTACATTTTATTTACAAAAGTTATATATTATTACTTAGTTTGTTTTAAGCATCATAACTTATCAGTTTTTTTTCTATTATTATAATATTGTTGGTACTTTTTGTCGTATCGAACGCAGGAAACGATCAATCGAAATTAAAATAACATAAATAATATTATACCTACTTTTATGGATATATTTGGATGTATTCTATTTTATTTTAAATTAGAAAAAAAAAGAATATGATATTTTCATATTCAAATACATTTTTAAAAGATACGATGAGAGGAAGTTTCTTATTCCGCAGAGAATAGCTGGGAACTATAGGGAAATTATTTATTTACCCACACCTCATGTTATGTATATCGGGCTTCAAGTCATAAAATATTCTTTATCCACGAAAATCTCTTGCTATTATTGTTATTTGTTCTTACGGCTACGTCCAGTCTTGTGTTAAAAGTACTCGATTATATATAGGTATTGTTACACGAGAAGAATTTTTAAAACTAATATTCATATTGTTAATTAATTATTATAGGTACCTATGTGAATAATAAGTTAATTATGACGACATATTGGAGCATTAATAAAAAGAAAATTATGAATATTTTTAAGTTGGTGCCGTCGTCGCAAACCCTAACGAAGTGCTCCTGAATTTACTGCAGGTCCAGGTAAAAAAAATAACGAGTTCTTAATTAATCTTTCAATCGGAAATCCAGCATAAAAATCAAGTACATAATATGTTGATTGTTAAGTATTGTAATTTCATGAGTATATTTTCTAAGTAAAAATAAAATAACTACCAATAACTAAACTAAAATTAGGCGAAAAACGTTTAAAACAATTTATTATAATATAAAAATCTCAGTCAATGTTTTTTCTAATTATAATATGATTTATTGATTTGAAAGTGACACAAAGATTTGTGTACAAGATATACCTACGTCTTTGTATCAGTGAAAAACGTAATATGAGTTTTTATGAAAAAAAAAAAAAATGTATTTATTTTTACACTGTCGTCCCGTCGAGAATTTATGGTAATATTTTTGTTGTATCGAAAAACTTGATGATAATCGCTTACCTTTGTAGTTACTATTACTTTGATGCATTCACTATTAGTCATGAAGTACGTAGTGTTGACTACATGATTTTCAGTATTTTATAATATAGGCAGTGTTAATAAATTATAACGTATGACCGCGGCGATAGTCAAACCGGACATCAGCCCCGCAGTTATTAGAATTTTATATTATATAATATATCATATGTTTATATACTTATCGGTGTTTTTCTTTAGAATGTATAGGTTATAATCGCGTATTTTTTTATGCGTAAAACAATTCCCAAAAACGTCTTATCTAAAAACACTCGTATATAACAGACACTTATTCCCATTCGATGTGTATAATAAACAGGTGCATCTATATATGATTATTATAATCATGCTACAAATATATGATATTAACTACATATAATGCTGCAGTTATCGAATTACGGTTTAAATTACTCATATCGGATTAAAATGTATTTTCAGGTATACGTATCGGGTGAATGATTAACATTTTAGAAAACAGTGTATGAGTAATGAATATAATATTAATAATAATTATAATATTTTGTCACGGCGGCACCACACCTAAACGAGCTAATAAAGCTTTTAATCACTAACCTAACCTAACCTGATAGGCTTGGTTCAATAATTGCTGAGCCTTTGTCGGAAACCGCCGTTACTTATTCATAATATGACGCAATGTAATATTATATGTATTATTTAAGGTCATCTTGTATAGTCGACTTGTAAGTGCTAGAAAGGTAATGCGTTTAAATGTATATTGTTATAACTGATAATGTAAAATTATCTATGTGTGAAACTCTTAAGTGCAACAATGAAAGTGTGTAATAGTATTATCATTTTGAACAATAAAATTATACATTCATATTTTATTTACTTTTGAATAACGAGTGAAAAATTAAAAACTTTATAATAATACGGAGGCAGACATCATGGATATTTTGGGTTTAGGTAATAGACGAATATAGTATAAATAATGTGTTATTTGGTACAATCGAAAATATTCATTTGTGCTTTTTATATTTTTTACCCATTTTTGTCAAAAGATTGTTATTGTTAAGCTTTAGAATAACATATACATAAAAACAATTATAAGTTTAAATATTTTAAACTATAACACAATTAATTATTGTAAAAATATTATTTTGTATAATTATTATTTTATATAATCAGTAGTTGTATATTATAAATTAACGAAAAAAAACTAAGACATTGTAGTGTCGGCACACAGAAATTAAAATTATCCAATATAAATTCGGCATAAATTTACATATTGTCATAATATCACACAATTTTTAAATTTTCTAGTTTTGAATAATAATAATAAAAAAAGATTCGCTCTACGTTCTGATAGGTATATCGGAACATGTCAATGGTTTAGAAATTTGGTTTCGGCTCTACTAGATATTGAACTCGCCGAATGTCCCAGTAAAGTGTAAACAGAAAAGATACCGAACAATACTATAGTCCAAAATTTAAAATTTTGTTTTTAAAATTATTTTTATTCTAATACATTTAATCCCATAGTCGATACAATTATTATTTTAACATATTATAATGTTTCCTGTAAATTTTTATGAATAGTATAAAATCAATTTAAACTGATGTTGTAATCAGCTGTTTATTTAAAATTTTTTTGGAGAGTATTTCATTTAAATAATTTTAAGAGTAGGTATGTTTTTAAAATATTTTATATTATACCTTTATGCGATTATATACAGTTTACTCTAACCTTTATGATTTTTAACACTAATACGGGTATTGTCTTTTGTGTAACTTTTATTTACATAATATATTACATATATCAATGTATATTTCAATAGCTTTTATAGTTTTTTTTTTTTGATTCTGGCAGAGAGGATGGGTAAAGGAGTACCGGAAAAGAAATTTTGGATACTTTTGGTAAATATTAACTTGGATATATTTATTTGAAAGGAAACGTTATTTAATTTTAATGTTTCAGTACTTATTTTTCACTATTCGTCGTAACGTAAATGTTGAAAGGATATCTTCACTAATAATTGCTTAGTAGATCAATATCGAAATTGTTTTAAAATAAAAATACAGTATTATTTAATGCAAATTCGATTTCAAAACAACCAGTTTGGAATTTTATGATTATGTTATTGGGAAACTAGAGCTACTGAAACAGCTCAAAAAATCAGGAAAGCATCTAAATTGAAACCAATATTGAATTGAAAAATTTGACACTCTAAGTAATTGTCCGTTTACGTTAATCCAGCCCTGCCCGGAATGTGTTTTAAAATTTAAATTATACTCTATGTATACAATATAGTATGTACTTTACCCTTAATTTTATAGCCATAGGAAGTTGAACGCAGAAACGAACAAATGACTAAACATACTGCACTAAATGCGATTGGATGCATTGTCACGCGTGTACGTTATTAAGCCTTATGCCTTAAATACAACTGATCACAGTCCTTGGGCTTGCTCTTTGAATATATCTGGTCTTCTGTTTGGTGCCTTGGTACAATTCCGCATCCAAGTCACTTGGGTCAGCTAACTCTGCTGCAAACAACCAGTGAGTATAATATTATGCATTCGATGTGAATTTATAGATACCTACCAACTCAAATTTAATAATGTATAATGGATGTAGTGTGTATACCGTTTTAAATCTTATCGCCAATACACTAATAAATTATTTCATTATTTTATAAGTGATTTGGCCAATAATATGAGTTATTATCGAAACAATTCACTTCTGAAGCAGTGGTGCAATAAGTGGCTCAAATTATATATTTTTATATAGGTATAAGTATCATATTTTTAAGTGGTTAGGTCTATATTTTTAAAAATTTACAAGTGTTTACATTTTAGGGAGACATCTATATAATCTTTCTAGAGGGTTAATGCATTTTTTTTTTTTTACTGTTTATAAACCGATAAAGGAAATCTCGAGACAGATATTAAATAAATTGTACGTATACATATAATAGTATGTAGTGCTTTTAATTTGAACGGATTTAAATATACCTAAGTATAATTAATTATTAATCAAACATTAAAATAATTAACTGCATCTTTAATTATTGAATTATAACTCAAAGAATTAAGTATTTACGCAATGCAATTAAAGTTGGATCATATTTAGATAATTATACGTGTTGTTTGATCTAGTTTAGTTATATTGTTTATTTGTGTTTACATTGTTGAATCTTATTATTTTATTAATAAAATAAAGATAAATTTTAAATTGTATCAACACAATGACGACGATGAATTCAATGTATATAATTGATACTATAAATAATTATAATATTATTGGATTGTTGGATTCGTAATATTATATTATCTGAAATTTTAGCGGATTTGTCATTTATATTTTTGCAATATAAGTTCAAATCTAGTATAGGTTTATCATTAGGGTTGAAGAATAATGCTGAAAAACGTAGTGTTTTTATACTCTCTTGTAAACTATAGTAAAACAACTATATTATATTTTATTTTTAATATTTACTTACGTGCAATAATTTGAGTCATTTGAATGATGGAATGATGGATGATGAGGGATTCAAAACGAAACACGTACTCGGTATGTTTTATTAGATATTAATTAATCGTAATAATCAGGTAAGTAGGTACTCAAAAACATTGTTTTTTACTTAAAAAGTTTAGCCTTGGTAAGAGATGTAGCGATAGCACCACGGCGATGTCGCGTTCAACTACCGAAGAGTTTAGACATTTAAAATACGACCGCCGAGATCAATTACACGACTTATAAGAGGTGTACATTGGACACTCTATAAAATAGTTATATTTTCGTATAAAAATATTTTAAGAAAACGTGACGACGCACTGTCCGAAATAACGGGTTTTGTTTACGGTTATATTATGATGGAGAAATGAGTGTACCGACGTATGACTACGTGTTATAATTGAATACGCTCAGTATTTTAATAAACATATTATAAATGTGTCATACTTACTCTACTATAAGACCACAGAACGATGAATTGTGCAGGAACTAAGATCGTTTAAATGATGTAGGTAAGTATTATATTAGGTATATAATATCACGGCTACTGTATAATGCGATACATAAAAACTAAATTCTGTACGGTGTATAAATTTATAATATTATTATTTATTATAAACGAGAAGTAATTTATTGACGCGTTGATTAATCTGGTCGTAAGTCAATATTGTCGTCACGAATCGTTTAGGAACCAGCGAAATCGAATGTAGGTAGCTGTTGGCCCGATATAATTATTCCACATTTCCGTACAGGTACTTAGGATAATTCCGACAGCCGATCGGAATGCGCGAAATCGGATCACGATGATGTCGTATGCTGATGCGAGACAATAATGAAAATATAAACGATAAAAACGTACCTATTGTGCGGATACAGTGGCATTATGTATTCCAACGTTATGGCTGTGGTGAGGGAAAATTACGATTATTTCAGCGGGAAAGAGGAAAAAAAATGCCGTCATATTGTGCATTTTCTTGACACTATATTATGTGCATCTGTGTCGTACGCAATAACAATACATATCATAATATAGTATGACAAGTTTTTTAACGCCAAGTCCGGCTGAGGCTGTGCAATGTTGTATTTTACAACGTAGAGAAGAAAAGAGTTTATTGGCACACACGTGTAGTGTCTAATTGACGCAACTCATTAGCCACAACGACATTGTTGCAGAGAACTTGTGCAAAATATAATGGTACTAGTGTTAGACCGGAAATTCGATCACTTATCACGTCGTTGGAACACACGCGCACCTGTATGATTAAGTATCGATAATGTTTGATTTGTTTGACGACGCTGACGCACGAAGTTACCAACTGACATCGTCGTATTATTGTAATGAGTTATAACAATATCATGTCGAGTACCGATGTAGGAGAAAACACTGCATTTCGCAAATGAATTTAAAAAAAAAAAACGTTTGCGTAACTTCGTGTCGATGTATAGGTAATAAGTACACTATTGTCATTTCGACTGGCTTTCCAATGCGTACCTGTTACAATATTTAGAGATCAGTAGAGCGGAGATACTCGGTGGTCAACCTATATCGTCGTTTTAGTTGGATTTCAATTTTATTTGTTAGCGAACATCAAAATTGCCTATTTAAAACTCCTTAAAATGCTTCAGGTCGTACAACGATATTATTACGATATAATATTATTATTATGTGATTAATGTTCATCAATCGTATTTTTAAGGCGCGTTCCGTGATTTAGACTTAGATGTCATAGTATTGTATTTTTTTTTATGAAAATCGTACTTTCGTTACTGTATGTACAATAGTATGAAAATAAAATGTAAACAATTTTGATTAACTTCACTTCGAATAGCAACGATACATTTAGCTCTCGATTACCAATAAAATTTCATTATAAGTTTACTTATCGAAATTATGCAGAATTATTATAAGTGATGATTTATTTTTAACGACGGTATCTTTTAGCATTAAAAAAATAAGTGCACCAAATACTCAAGGACAATTATGTATGTAATACGGATATGTAAAGTGGGGCCCATTATTGTTTTGATGATTAAAAAAATAAATCAAGATTAAGCCCCCTGAAAAATATTTGTATAGGCAAATCGTTTTATGATTTGGTATATTGATGGCATGTTGCGATATGAGCTAAAATACAATATTTCATATGAAGTATTAATATTTTTTTATTTTTTCATCAATAAAGTGCACACTTGTAAGTACGTTATACATCAATTTTATTTGATTCCAAAAGAATATGTTCATATTCTTACCAATTGATTTTTTACATGATAGTATTAAAAAGTTACAATTATTTATATGATTATCATAGTTCAATATTTTATTTTTAGTAATATTAGTTATATATATTTTAAATAAGTTAAATAATAAAAAAAGTTAGAGATAATGTAAGTTATGAATATAATAAAATGTGATTCGTGTCAATTTAGTGATTAATTATGATTATTTATAATCGAATTGATCAATAACACAATACACAGTTATTGTTGTAATTTAAAAATACCATTGAATATGTATATAGTTTACATAGTTTAATTCAAATTTTATATATATATATACACTTATAAATATGGTTAAATTGAGAATATCATAATTTGGGTTTTAAGAAACTATTCAATTTTTTTATTAAAACGCGCAGTACTGTTTATACTTACGAGTAGTTTGGACTATTTTTAATGGATTTAATAAAATTCTGTAAATCGAAGAATGTATCGATTAAACAAATTAATTTTGATTTTAATTTTAATGTCTATATACATGAAATCGAGTATTTAACAATTTGATAACTTTGAGTAAGTATTTTTAAATTCTACCACGAATCTCCAATCATCAATTAGATTGAAAGAGTTATTACCTTTATATACACATATCGATCGATTTAATGCAAGACACTCGTTTAACACTCAATATATATGAACTTTTTAAATTAATTTTTTTAACGACAATAAAAATTGTTACGTATCCTTCATCCTAAGTCATGGTCATTTTTTCGCCTCTAAAAGTTAGATATTTTTTTTTTACCTCCGAACAATTATAAATTCGTTTATTTAAATGTACCTGTATCGTATAATATGTAATAAAGTATAAACATAATTTAAAATATTTTTTTTTATTTTAAAAAGGTTTTAGGGGTAGTAAGTTTTTTAAGTAGTCGACTGCCATGTTGTCGCTTCTCATCTTATCTTTGGTACGGGTATATCGCTACGTGCATTTAAGTCTACACATGCACGCGGACTACGTTCGATGCGACTATCAGCCGACAGGACGAGTAAACTCCATTCGTATGCAATGCTCATGAACGGTAGATAATAATAATAATAATAATGCTGTCGGACTATACTCAATAATATAATATATACGTTCTCAGAAGTCAGAGTAATGTGTAGCGTAGCGACTGGTTTTTTTTTTTTTTGTTCTCCATCGAATCCGTCCATCGACCAGTTCGACTTTCCCTCCTTGTATACATAGGTAACAATAATATACTTACTATATACATACAATACAGGATGTCTCGACGCGATCCTCCCCATAAAATAATTTATTTCAAATGGGCATTCACAATAATATACTATAGCTATAACACTGAAGGCCTCAAGTTCGTCTAAAAAAATATTCCTGTTAATTATTTAATTTCCATTATCACGTGTACTTTTAAAGAGGTTTAACGTTTTCATTAATTGTTTAGATTAAGAATTAACGTTTAAATGAAATTACTGTTTTTTTTGTCGAAGACTGTACGTGGCCATTGATCACTCACAAATTCGAGTAATTAGAATTGTTGAAAAACGATTTATTTGCAAAGTCACATACAATGAAACACACATATACACTGGATATCTATACCTCGATTACGAGACGATAGTGTGCGACAAAAGCGGTGCTTCTCTCTGACGGAATTCTTTGCGATATCAAGGCGCGAGGCAGACACAATTAACTCTATGGCAATCGTAGTCGGCGCATAGCATCGCGTGCGCGCCGGACAAATTATGTCTTCATTCGCCAGACATATTATACTATAAACGTACGCGCACACACACACACACACACACACACCTGTAACATATATAATAATTAGTACCTATCTAGTGACTTCCCGAAAAATACAAACTATACAAACGAACGAAATTAAAAACAAACGGAAAAAAAACCCTTTTGCAGGTGATTATCGTCATGTTATTTAGACTGATATCGACAGGTGCGCCGGCTATAGTTGTAGTGTTTCGTGGGGTACACACAGGGTTGAAGAAAAAAAAAAACGTATTTTGTGATGGCGCAAAAGGTATTGCGAAAATTCGTTTTTGGATATATAATTACAAATTATATTGTCTACAGCGATCGTGACAAGCGCTATTGAGCGCCGTGGCCGCGTGCAATTACTCGATTGCTCGGTGTAAAGTTTTATTTTTAGTTTTATTGTTAAACAACATTATCTCGTTTATTAGGAGCAAAAAGTATTGAAAAAAAAGTTTACTTGCTGACTGCTGTATCGCTGTAAAAGTTACTGTTTTTTTTATCGACGAGCCAAAACGGGCAGCGTTCACTACGAATACAGCGAATAAGAAATAATACACAATGCGCGTATCGGCAATATGATTGTGATGTTGATGTAATATAATACGAGCGTGTGCAATATAGTAATAATAATAGTAATTTACGATACACATAATGCGGTGTTTTTATTATGTGGTCGAGAACAATTTTTTAATGAGAGCTCCTATACCTATATAGAGAAAATAAAATAATACCCTTGCTCGAATTAATAACTATATACATGTATGTATATGTATATATTTATATCGAGTGGGTTGACAGTCATATCTGCGCGGCGATTTGTTTAAAATATCAAATATGAAATAAGTAGAGTAAATGATTCTTTTATCAAACAACATACATTATTTCAAAATCCATTAATATTTTTAAAAACATTTTTTTTTCACGTAATTTTTAGTCAAAACAAAACAACATTTGAATAAAAAAGTATTTTTAAAAATGTTTATAGATTTTTAAATAACGAGCGCTGTTCGTTAAAAGAATCATTCAGTTCATTTTTGTGGTTATAGTTTTAGGCCCAACCCGGTGCAAAGAAACTGCGTAGGAATGATTAGGTATTACATTTTTGCTATCAGCTATTTCTGTGTAAGCAAATTGTCAACAGGCACAGGCGTACTCCAACTGCAGTTGTAATAATTACAATTCAGTTTGTGTAAATATCAAAGGAAATATTGAAATAGTTACGGTAAAAATGTATAACTAATAACTCGGTAATAATATTGAGTAAATAATATAATATACCTATATTGTGATGTGATGACATTAATCTTACGGCAATATTTAAAAGACTCTTGATAAGAGTAAATATTTAACGATGAACTGAAAAGATTTATAAAATTACTAAACATATACAAAATATATCGACGGAAAAAAATCTCCTGGAAATTTAGACATTGCTTAGAATGAATATAATTATTATAGAAGAGTTTTTGAATTTTATGTCTTGTTTTTTATTGTTGTTACCTACAAAGTACTGGACAGTGAAAAAGCTATAATTGCAGATTTAATGATTAAAGATGTCGTTTACCTTTGTTATATCCAGGATAAAACTAAACCGATAACTGTCGAAAAACATTGAAGAAATCTCGGCTAAACATTGTATATTGATCGTAAACTCCGGAAGATATTGTTTTTTTTTGCGATGATCGTTACTTTCAAACGTATTATATGGTTGTAATACAGCGACACGCTATTCTAAATTCGCCAAGGCCCAAGACGCGGAGAGGAAGACGTAATTCTCAGTCGCACCGTATAATGATTGTGTATTTATTTGGTGTTTTTTTTTTTAAAAATGAAATATGTTCTGATGAAATAATGTAAAATTGTACACATATTTTACCGATGTCTAATTGAAAATACGCATTGTGATTGATGGTCAAGAGCCAAGACAATAGATGATCGGTTGACATTAAAATCACTTTCATACGCAATCATTGTATTTAATAATCACATGGTATATAATATGAAGTAGGTACCCATAAAATATTTTTATTAAACTTGTATGAACTTAAAACTTTATTTCGTCTTCGTTCTAAAAATTATATTTTATTTACACATCATGTTATTATTAATATGTCGCCAGGATATTAGTACGATAATGGTATGTCTTATTAGCGTTTAAAAATTTACAATTAACCGACTGATAATGCGAGTTTAAATATATATATATATATATTTATTTTAATATTAAACATCGTAATTAAATCTTGAATTAATAATTATACCAGCATAATAGTATATAGTATTGATGTACACAGATACTGGATTTCTATACTGTTACTGAATACTTCGCTGTATAAGTACTAATTGTCCTTAGATCCCCGTTTATAAACTTTCTCCGAGTCAGGTCTCGGCGCTACTTTGTAATAGTAATAATAATAATTATATACTACACATAACACAAATAAAAATCATATATACCTGTTGCAGTGTCATAGGAGTATCAAAGTAGTTGATTGAATTCGGGCAAGAAGTTCTGTTTGATAGTGTCTTGGTGATGAAAGAAATCGATCAACGACCTTGAAATTTTCGTTTATCCGCTACGGATCGTGTATGAGTACCTGTTCATTTGGTTGCTTTATTTTTACTAACGCATTTAGTTTAGTACATTTTACGTTAGAAGATTTCATTTTATTTTATTATTTTCAATGTTAGAACGAATTGAACCATTATCGAATTTAAAATTAAGAATATGTTATTATCCAAGGCCGCGCGTTGGTTTTTTTATGATATTTTAGTTTTTGAAGTTACTATGAGTAAAGTTATAAAAAAAAAAAAATTTCAATAACATTTATGGTTTTAAAATGCTCATAATTTATTATGAACTTAAAATATTATAAAAAGCCCATTCGCGAAGTCTTGGATTCTTACCGTTTGGTTTGATATTAGGTCAATTCGCTTTAATGTTAAAAATTACATAGTAAATATATTCTTTTGATCGCAAAATTTGCTATGTTTTGTTTTAGCTAAGATGGAGATATCACAAATGCACCGCTTAGATACGACGTCCTCTTAAGAAGAAAAATGTAGAAAACACGTCCGTGTCATAAGAAACAAGATTTCGACGTAATACATTTCAATAAACGTATATTACTGTATAATTTATATCAGTATTAAATGAGATTATTGTAATATCTAAAACTAATTGAATGAGAAACTCGGGCGTAGTTTATTTTTATTATTATCCCTGTGTATCGTTTGAAATAATTGTATGAATAAAGAATATACATGTAACTTGAAATAAATATATATTTTTATGCGTCGGAAACAAGTTCTGTTCGAAACTTACAAGTTTATTTTTTTAAATCAAGTTAATTTGCCCGTTTCAAACTTCATATACACTATCATAAATTAAAATTAATAGACAAACATACATTCGTATTAATGAAAACATAAACAAATGTTAATGTAATAAACGTTTTAAAAATAATATTGCAGGAGATAAACACGTGCTACATAAGCTTGGAAAGAGTAGTCTGATTATTCAGTGCTTGTAATTTATTGTTTACAAAGTAATTTATTGATATTTGTAATAGAGGGCTTTAAGCTATATTACATGATTAAAGCATTTACTGTTATATTATCATATTTATTTATAAATAAGTATTTAACTAGATTCGAGAGAAAATTTGTTGGATGCGATTACGCCTCAAATATAAATTTACATAAATGATCTCAAATGTTGTGTAATTGTTCACTTATATGTTTAATCGTTCTCATAAATGTTTAAAATAATATCAATAAAATGGAAAATTTTTGATTATTTCTAATTAAAAAATCAAAAATACGCTACTTAATCTAAGAATAATCACTATATGCAAATTTACGAGTATAATATGCTAAGCGTCAAATATGTAAATATGTGCAGGAAATAAGTAAGCAGATTTTATGAATTGAATTGAAGTTATATTTTGTCATAATTTCGTTTGAGTTAAAAAAATATGCTGACATGCTGTTATAAACATTTGAACACTATTCATTCATAACTTAGTTAATCATTTAATTTTTATATTTCTTCTAGTTATAATCATAAATTTGGTTTTATTTTCAACGATGATACACCTGATGTTTTTTGGATAATCACATTAATTATAAATTATTTAATATACTTACTTATATAGGACGATGGACCATTTTCGCCTAGAATAATTTTTCATACTTTTGCGATGATTTATCATCGAATTGAAATTAATACAAAAATTACAGTGAATTACTTCTCAACGACAAAATTCTCTCGACAACTATTGTACAGCAAAGTAGTTACTTGTTTTATTAATATTTTTTGAGAAAATGATTATAATTTTTGAATAGCTTTTTAAAATAGATTAGTATAACAGTATTGTTCCATCTAAATTTACATTTTAAAATTTAGTATTATCTTTTTTTTTCGCTTAAATATCCTATCTTGTCAACATTTTAACTTCAAATGTTTTTAAAACAACAGTGGTTATTATTTATATTTTCAGTATTTTTATTTTGGTGCAAGAAGAACTTACGAGGAAGTCTTAATAATTGCTTATTTTTATAGATATTAAAAATGCAAATGATATTAACACGTGATAATACAATACGTAGTGTAGATAGTAGTTACTATCCACATTGAGTATATTATAAGTATTTTAGTTATAGAAATTACAACTTAATATTGTTATTTGTTATGCAGCAATATTAATAGATCAACTTGACTGGTCATTGTTGTTTGTTCGTTATTGTTTTTAAAAAATAGCTGTCAATGATATTATAAATATTAAGTGTTTCACAGTCGACACTTATCACTCACCTATGTGCAGGATACAACGTTGTTAAATAAAAAGTTGTATAGAGAAAGTTGTCTTCTAAATTTACTGCAAATTATGGCGATCGTTGAATCAGGATCTTAAAATGTCACGAAACCAAGTGAAAAGAATAAGAAATTAAATTGAAAACAGTTCATTAAATTGAACACAATAGTATTAGGTAAGTACAAATTCAATTAGGAACTTATGGAATGAACTGCATTAATTAAATAACGTTACCTATTTATGTACATTTATAGTTAATTCGGTAGATAAAGAAAACATTAAAAAAAAAAAATAATAATAAAACATAGGTATACTTATACCACATGTACAATGTACATACCACCATATGTATTTGTTCATTACATTTAAATGTTTAAAAAAATTTTTATTACATTATTGGTATGGTAATTGGTATGCATCGATAAAATATTTGTCTTACTGAATTTTTTTTTTGCATTGTATTATACTAATGGCAGTTATTAACAATAAATAGTAAACTATGGTTACTTGTTTATAATACATGACTAATTTTAAACATTAATTTATTGTTGTATAACATGTACCTATTATATTTATCAAGTAAGTAACTGTGTTTTGATGAACCCTAAATACCAGTGACGTAACTAAGATGGATCATAGGGTGATTATAGACAGTGTTATAATCGCTTTGGGAACCCGAAGTAATACAACGTTTTTCTTTTAATAGTTTGTAATAAACTATTAAAATAAGACTATATTAAACTTTATCAAACAATTAATCATTTTTTTTTTTTTTAATAATTCAAAATATTATACAATTTTGAATCAATAAAATATGCAATAATATTTTTTAAGAAATGTATTAAATAATTTTAGTAAGATGAATGCATCCCCTCTCTCAGACCTCCCTATATAATGCTTGTATGAGGGAGGCCGTTTAAAATTTTGCTTCCAGGTCTAAATTTTAAAGTTACTCCACTGCTGAATACTACCATGAAAAAATTATAAGCGTATTGAAAATGTGTACCTAGTTGAAATATTGCAACAATCCTGATAATAATATTATATTGATATCGTAGATATTTTGCTTTAGTAATCTAGTCCTAACCTAGTTATCTAGTATTATTTGATGATCAAACTATTGTATGTAAAATTGATTAGGTACCAGGATAAGACAGATTTAAGACGTGATTTAGAAAACGGGTTGGACTCCTGGGCTTTTAAAATAGATCTTGTACAGTTGTACATAATGCATTAATACGTCACCGATTCGATTGCCCTCTTGTCGTAGTGTTCTAGAAATTCAAAGTCAGTCGCAGTTTAACAATATGCGAAAACATTGCTTTGACACTTGTCTCCTATTATTGCAATAACACAGTGAACGGTACAGTCGAGCATTAATCAATATCATTGATAATATTATAATACATATTTATTATTTATTATTTTATTCTAATTCAATAATACCTGCAAGGATGCAGTCACGCGTGTACCTTATTCACAAGGTACAATCACGAACAGTGTAGTTATACAATTGCGAGCGATGATGTCGGTTGAAAACATATTTGTAAACAGAGCGGTTGCATTCGTTGGCCGATTTACAATCAAACCGATATTGGACATCAGCCCTCAGCGATATGTCGACGACAATTATTATTCTTATAAATGGCAAAGCAACCGTGTCGTTATAGGGAAACCAGTGCGATTTCACTTGAATATGTCATTGTGCGCCAAACAATAAATTGTTGTATCATACATTATCAATAGGTTGTCTATACAGCGCTACTGTTTTGGCGTGTACAGCTTTGGAGGTTAAACGATTGGACGAAAATGAAAGGTAATTTAACAGTCGGTAGCAGCTATAATTTTCGCGACATGCCGAAGATTTGTTTAATGGGATTCTTTTCATGGTGGTCGGCAACAGCACTTGAGATACCACTAATTAAACTGCAATTAAACGTCGGTTAATATTTCAGTTTTTATTAATAATTGTGCCTGCGAATTTGGGCGGTCTCTTTTAGGTGAAACAATTAATTTAATTTTTTTGTCTAATAAACCAAAGACATATATGTATGCGTCTGCATTTCTAAATTCTCTTGTCATGGAAACCGTTTGTTATTTTGTCAAAAAAAAAAAAAAAAAAATGCAATAACGACCTTACAGCAGTAATATACTGCAGTGTTGAATAGACAGTTAACTAATAAAATTACATTTAACTCGATATAGCTGAAGAAGCCGTGTTATTCCTGTCCGACGAAAAGATTCGACGATTTTTTCATACGCAGCAAATAAACATTATACATTTCTAAACGATTAAAAAAAAATAAAATTATGATCGTTTTCAATACATAAAACGATTGTTTATGATTATTATTATGACGTTATAACATTTTAATAATATTATATTTGGGTATTTATTTATTTATTTTTTGTTAACACCTTAATCAAATTATTTTATTTAAAAAAAAGTGTATGACTATAGACTGTCATTACATTCATTTAATAGTTTGAATAGAAATAATAAATTGACCAGGAGGTTCGAGGAACACACCCAATAAATAATATAAAATGTCAATTGAATGTTATTATGCAAAGTAACTTTACAGAATACATTACGTTTGTGAGGAAAGCATACTGCATTTTACCGTTTAAACATATTTATCATGATTGATGTGCTGTCTAGCTATTCATTTATCCGTGTTAAGTGAGCGATTATTCCGTCTGGACCTAATATATTTTTGTTTTGATCTCTTAAATTTTTAATTTATAAAAATAATAAACTAGAAGTATATTATTTATTTACAACTAATTTTATTATTTAATAGGCTAATTTTGGGATTAAAGATATTTAAAATATTGTCATACTCTATTAGTTCTTAAAACTGAATTTAATAGAAAATATGTCATATAAATTTATTGACCATAAGTATTTATTAGTATAATACTCGTAATACAAATGTTTTAATAAATAATAAATACGAGTATATTATAATTTTAACCATATTCACCATGGTTTTTCTTATGTTGGATAATATTAGGTAGGTATATCATAAAAATATTAAGTTAAATAAACAGATATATTATTATGTCTTGATTGAGAGACGTATGAATTTAAGCCTAAAGGTACATAATTACATTTTAATAATTTATAATTTTATAATTATTATATGGATTTTTTAATATTTGTTTTTTGATTTTGATTTAATAAAAATATTAACTAAAAAAATTAGGTACCTACTTGGCTACTTATATTGGTTTAGTTGGTTGATATAAAACAAATATTTAATTCGATTTATTACTGACAATTTTTATGGTCAATTATATTTTGGTAATCACAAACTATAAAAATATTTAAGTGTTTATAACATACCTATACGTTACATTACACACTACTATTATAATATGACGTATAATATTTTCATCTAAGTCAAAAATTACATTTGTACACATTTAAAAATGATTTAATATATGTATTATTATTTTCCTTGATAATCTTTGAACTTAATTATTGATAAGAAGAATGACTATATTAAAAATACAAATTGGATAGCATTTTATCAATAACTATTATTGAATATAAAATATTATTAATATTACGAACACGAGGCTGCACCTTACGTTTTAAATATAATTCACTCATACTTCTTTAAAATGACAAAATATCAATACATTATTTATTGCAATTTGCAATATACTGTACAACATTTATATACTATATGTATTATATGGATAAATTGTAATCCATTAAATTGAATCAAAATCACTACATACAAATAATAATAATAATGGTAAAAAAAAAACAATTGTGTCGACAATAGTTTTAGAAAATAAAAGTTGGTGGTTTATATGGATAATATTAAATATTAATAATAATAATAATAATACGATTTCTTGTTGAGTTATCACTTTTTAAGATGTTATGACGTTATATCCAGTTATCCAGTTAAAACGCATTAAGTCGTGACATAATACCTGCAAGATGTTAAGCATTTATCACTAAAAATATTTTTAATGGTATGTATATTATGTAATGCGATAGAAATCACAAGATTATCATGCCCTACTTTAGAAGCATCTAGTAAGGACTATAATATAGGTTTTCTGTAAGCAATGCACAATCCGCGTGACAGTTAACAATGCCTCTACGGCTCTACGTCACTAGGTCTTAAAAAAACGTTTATTTTTAGATTTTTCCAGTCAGTAGTCATTAAAATCGTAGAGAAATTCTTCGGTTTAGTTTAAATACATAGGGTTATAAATCGTTGCTCGATGTTTTGGAAATATATTATTTTTAGAATGCAATCATGACGTTCCAATGAATATTTAAATTTATAATAGTCTAGTGATCGAATTAACGACTCAAAATGTTATGTACACTTTATTGTTACTACTACGCCACACACTATTCACATTGCGTCGTGTGTACCGGTCAGCAACTGCAGGATAATGATATAATTCACGAAACAATAATGTTTTTACGAAATCCAGAGGTGGTGTTTTAACACAAATGTATAATAAAATGTACACACGTATAGTTACATTTTATATTATTATGTTGATTTTTAGTGTTCAGATTTACTGCACTAGTGAAACATGTATATTATAATATTAACATCAGTATACGAATATGCGTTTATAGAGTGGTACGTATTATGAATATTGCGCGATTTTATGCCTTAGTGTAATGCCATCGGCGCGGTGTATGACATTTTGGTAGGTAGTACATAGTGTAATAATATAAAGCACGTATACCTACAATATTGTGACATGTGGTGCGCACCACGATGAGGTGTGTCAGGTATGTATGGTTGGCGGTTGCTGACGAGAGTATTATAGCCTTCGTCCTTCCACCGTATTGTGTCAACTAAATTGAAGCCCGTTTGAAATTGCATGCGCGTTGCATAAAACGTAGTGCGTAGGTACTAATCGAATAAAAAAATTTACCGGGCTCCAAATGTCTATTGACTGAACAACTGTAACAACAACAATAATAGAACTATATTTAAAAACAAAAATGGAAGCGGTCGGTTTTTACTATTATTATTATTTTTTTTTTTTGAAGATCTAAACGAGTTGGCTAATATTCTCCGTTTGATCAATTATTGTGAGCGTAAACTTTTGATAATACTTATCAAATAATAAGTTTTA